TGTTTCCGCCGTGACGGAAAGTGGCCCGTAAGGGGCAAGGCTTCGATTTAGACTTTAGAGATTCACGGATTATGGCTGAGGTTTTTGGAGGTGGGGGTTAAACACTGTGAGTGTCGTCAAGACCGCAGCAACAGCAGGAGACATATTTGGTGCAAGGGCTAAGACTTCAGTGAACTCGGGCCGAAGCCAGCAGACCCTCCCAGGAACCAACATGGATCTTAAATAACTCCAGCGGCAAAAGACAGTAGCCTAGCGTTTATCGGGATTAGGGCTCAGGTAGAGGGCTTCGGATTTTCCTCGTGGATCCAGCGCCCAGGGTGTAGTTCAGGGTTTAGGGTTTAGGTTCCCAAACTACGCAAGGTCTGTTGAGATGAACTGCACCGAACAGATAGTATCGTATCAGGCGGGTATGGGGTCGTTGCGAAGCCTCAAGGTTCTCTGTGCCTGTGTAATACGTGTGTATATATATATGTATATGATAAAATATGCAATATAGTACATATATATATATACATGTATGTTGATCCTGAAGTACAGTACTTCTAGCTTTAAGCAAAATCCTTAAGCCCAAAGTACGTACGATACAGGCACCGCTACAAGGACTCTTAGGAAAGGTTTTTGCACAGGTTGCCAAGGGCTTACAGTTTTGTGTTTGATGATTGAGGGTCCTTTCTGGGTGTTTGTAGGAGAGCCCTCAGACCCATACATCCGGTACTAGGGTCCGCCGTATAAGCTTATAACATACATAGAAAAGTAAGTTGGTAGCAGCAAAATCTTCATCTTTATAATGTTTGCAGGTTGTCTTCGCTGAAGGCTAAGGGGTATTGGATCTCTGAACAGACCTGGAAGTCCACCTTTTCGTCCGCGCTGGAACAACCCTTCGGGCCACTGAGACGCACGGTGTTCAAGCGCATGCTACGAAACAAGCAGATAAGAGAGCTCCTAGCGCTTGTGTAAGATCTATGGGGATCTGCAATGTTGGGGCTTCGTTTTCGCGGGTGTTGGCTACTGAATCGGCTGATCCGCTTTACCGATGTTTGGAATACTGTAATCTATACCCCCCTTAGAACCATAAACAAATCATTTTGAATATTCTCTTGGGTTTTATATGAACAAAAACACAAGATAATTCCTAAGGGGACTATAGTAATAATGAAATCAAGATCTACGGCCAGAGGACCACCCTCTGGGTGCAGCAAGCAATCCGGTCAAGGGCCTTTGACTTTGACCATCCGCAAGTTCAGCTGGGCAACGGTGGGATGTCATAGGCCCAAATTCAGCCTTTTTGCCTAAACTCTAAACCCTAAGCCCTTTTGGCATGAATCGACTTGGACTGAGAGTTCAAAGGTCAACCGGCTGAGTTCTTATGGCGAGCGCTTATCACAGTACAAAAAAAATACTGCGGCCTCCATCCATGCATGGAGAGCTACGAACTAGACCTGTGCTGTAGACCTACAAACCGAAAGCCCTAAACCCCTAAAGCCCTAACACTAAATCTTTAGACTTCTTTCCGTAATCCTCATGCATTCCGAAGATGGCTCAGAAGCCTTCACATTCGGCCCAAGCCCCCGCAAATCCTCCTTAAAACTAAGTACTGAAGCCGCCTTGAACAGTTGGAACAGGGGCTTGGGGTGTAGTATACCACAACTATCTATCCATCTATCTTTGTTGCTATCCACCCACCTACCGACCTACTCAGCTGGCTAGCTAGCTATCTTCAAATATATAGATAAGGACCATAGGGGAACGGAATGACCCCGAATTGAAGTTTTGGAGACAGTTTAGGGCCCCAACCTCTAAACCCTGGTGGAGGTTTTGTGCCACTTCCGGCTGTTTCTTCTTGTTGCCAGCTGGGTGAGACTCGTCAATGGCTCAGAAACGGCCCCTCTGATTGGCAATTGTGGGGTTTAGGTTGCGGTTTAGGATTTAAGGTGGGTTTGGGGTTAGAGATTAGGATGAGCTGGGGGTTTGAGGTTCGAGGGTGTCGGGATTAGCTGCAAGTCACATGCAACCGCATCTATGCATTGTGGGCTGAGCTGGGTCTTTCTGGGGAGTTGGCACAGCAAAGGGTCTCTCAAGGGCAAGGTTAGGGGCACAGGGAGCAACCGCGTAACCAGGAAACTCGGCGACTTCGAGCGCACAAGTTGCGGCTTCTGATGCTGAGAGCACCCTGTACCCTGAACCTGCAGAGCCCAAACTTGCTTAGGCCCATAAACGTCAAACCTCGTTTACTCCACCGAAACGTTGAAACTCCCAGGATTACGAAACCCGTGAAGCGGGTTTCCGAAAATAGGGGACCCTAATATAGTAACCTAAATTGTCGGATCGTCACTATAAGGACCCCCAAACAAGGTACCCCCAATTTTCGGAAGCCCCCATTTCAAACCCTAAATTCTGGACCCACCCCTCACACCCTCGGCGCATTTCTACCGGGGCCTAGGTCTTAGGTTTGTAGAGTTTCAGGGGTGAGGGTCGAGGGCTGTAATTAGGCCTTCATGGGCTACGGACTGAACCCGGGCAGCCGATTCTCACTTCGCGAGGGTTGCTCGGGCGTGAAACGAAAGCACAGCCACAGGCTCCACTACCATGTGAAGAAGGGGGTTGAGTGGTTAGGGTCTACTACCCTGTGACAAGAAGTACACTTGTATGTCATAATGGTTCCTTTATGTGACAGGTCCCCCAAAAGTATAACAGTCTAGTATTCCGGAACCCACGAGAGGGAGGATTTCTAAGTTTAGGGCTTTATGCGGTGCTCATGATTTCTGCCAGGAATGCCTCCTTTGAGGAAAGGTCCGTCATTATTCAAGATTTCCCTTAAGGGATCCTTTTAGGGTTTAGGGTTGGGGGGTTCAGGGTTTAGGAGGCCTCTATGTAAGGGCTCCTTTAGAGGGCTCCGAGTTGTGCTATCGTGTAGGCAAAGAAAGAGCTCTGCGCTGATTGATCCTAGGAGCCTGTGGCCACGTGGTGTCAGCCACCTCTGGAACATTCAGAAAACCCCTAAGGGTCCGAGGTACCGTAAGGGGAATACTGCCCCAAACATAATAGTAATTACCAATATAGAAACCCTACATTCTACTGTGTTGGTACTTTGGACGCTTTTGGAACAAGAACAACATTGCGTTAAGGGCTGAGGCTGAGGGCCTTTAGGGCCTTTGGGTTTTAGGAGGTTAGCGCCTGAATTCTTGTTCGGGCTTGGCATTTACATCGTCTTGGGGGTCAGTTTGAGGCCTGGGTGCTTGAACAGAGTGGTACGGTTGATGATATAAATCCTGCATGACCCCAAAATAAGGAATGTACCATAATTCCCATATATTCCTGATTATGGGTCATGCAGGACTTATCTCATCAACAGTACTGCTGGTGCTTCGCTGCTGTTGTGGCAGCTCCTGGTGCTGTTGCTGACACTCTGTTGCCGCCAGTGCAATGGGTTTAGGGTTTAGGGTCTAGGGGTTTAGGGTTTAGGGTAGCTCAGAGTCTCAAGACAAACCGGAACCAAAAATCTCAGCCTGAAACCTATTGACAATTGACTGCACCCGCACCCAGCAACATTGAACCCCACATCTGCACTCGACACGTTAACAAGGGCCAACCAGAAAAAATCACCAAAAGCCGAGCATACACCGTACTTCACATGTGTATGGGGTTTAGAGAGGGCAGCCTGTTTTGTACAGAATTTCGGTTCCGCAAATAAACCTGGGTTGGAGGCACTCTCACCGAACGCGTCGCTACAGTGGAACATGAAAAGTGGATTTTGTTGTACTGTTCTTCATGCTACAAAATGGTATTTTGCTACTGTGTCTAGATCGCCGACTTCAGGCAAGTTTCAAACATCTCGTGTCGTTGGTGCATTGTCTTCTTGTTCCGGTTTGCGGCTTCGGCTAAGTCGCCTAAACATTAGAAGCTGCCCCCCACCCTGTATTAGTGACTGTAAGGGTTTATTAGGGCCCTATTATATTCCTATTATACCACTACTACAGGGTGGGGGCCCCTTCTAACCTAAACAGCTCAAAGGGAGCTGCGGAAGCGGATGTATAGAAGGTATGCTCCTGAAACCTAACCCATAGGCCCCAAAGTAGTTCCTTCTTTGGGTTCATATATAGAATTCTATTAGGTAACCCCAAAAAAGGACCAATTTGGGGCCTACGGGTAACCCCTAAACCTGAACGAAAAATATTCGCAGCCTAGGTACTAGGGCTGGCTTTATATGGATCTTCAAGGCTTTAGTCGAGTGGGGCAGTGGCTGAATAAGCTGTACTCATAGCCCTGTCCGTCCTTGGACTAGCACGCCGAGCTATTTCAGTGACCCGGCTGGTGGCAAACGCTTTAACCGACAACAGCACCATTGGTGTGGTTGACGCCAGAAGTGCCTGCACAACACAGGCAGGCACCTGCATTAGCCGGATCATGTTCGCAGAGGGGGCTCTAGGATCAACTACAATAGCCACGAACTTGAAAGTTAAACTATAGAAGCCAGCGCATGAAACAACACCGCAGCAACCTGGCAATGCCGGTAGTAGCTCTGGAGTGCTGACAACTACACTTGCCTAGCAACTTAATAGATCCCTAAACCCCTGAACCTGAAAGCCAGAGAGAAGGCCGAACAAGTACCCATAAAAGTGTAAAATGTTACCCACCTTTGACAAGGGAAAGAAGCTTTATGGACCCTTCAAGAGGGTCACGGGCTTGGGATGCAGGAGATCCCAACACCAAAGACGAAGTGTGACCACCATGCACAATCCTGACCCCTAAAGCCCAAAGCCTAATCTCTAAACTCGCAGAGCCCTCGAACATAAGTTCGCACAGTCGACTCTATGGGTCACATTCACTGGTAGCTAGTACTGCGATTGCTATGATTACTATGACAGTTCTTGTTGCTACTGCATGATGATGATTATTATGCGTAGAGATCTTATTGCTCTTCTTTTAGATTGTGTACTCTGAGCACCCCTCTGCCGAAATCTATATGCCACTGCAGTGGAACTGGACACGTGGACTTCTCCTCAGCGCCTTAGCACGTCGCACACACAAAGGGCCAGCTAAGCCGCAATAGAAACCACTGGTACCTAAAGCTGCATATATATATATATATAGATAGAATACTATATATATATATATATATATATGATGCATGTAGACATATACATACACATATATTGACTGGGGTTCAAGGGTTGGCTGGAGAACTTAACATGCCGCACTGACAAGGTGCGCCTGTAGTGCTAAGACCCTGAACCCTGAACTCAGACTAATGTGTTTGCGAAACCTGACGACACCGGCTTGCACTTACAATGTGTGCTTGGAATATGGTGTGGAGACACTGTTCGTGCCAAGACAATGAAAATGCACAATCGTTTGACCATTTCTCATATACAGGTTTCCTTTATCTTCCAACACTCAAGCTGTGCACTCAAATTTTGAACCTTACCGAAAATCCGCTAGAGCACGCGAACCCTGATATTCGCGAAACGACTAGCATGTTGACCATTGATGTCTTCATGAAGCTCGAAGCTTCATTGTGTGCAGCCGACTCTCGTGCCGAAGACTTCAGCATGCAGGCAGCGAAGATAACGCAATATCACAAAGAACACAGGCTTCTCCAGTTTTCAACTTTTACCTTATCACCAGAAGGCCAGTTAGGTCGAGATTGCAACTTGTTTCGGGAAGCCCAAAAACATGCAGCCCTTGTATCCTGTATAAGGGAGGCTTGGCCCTTTCACTGTTTTGAATGTCCTGGTGGTGCCTACATCAGCGTCCGAGTGCATCAGCAATGGACATGCGCCAGAAAAAGAGCATCGACAGTGCAGTAATCTTGATCTATCGAACGGTAATATAGAACCCTCAGTAACTGGCGATAATTACTTGTCCTTGAGGTTCGCTGTGAAACGGATACTATGCTTCACACCACAACCCCGTTCGAACCCATACGGCCGCCATATCACGTTGCTTCACTTCTAAGCTATTAAGGCTGGCATATCCTAAACCCTAAACCATGCTGCTTCAGTTCTACACGCGGATCTCGTCCTCTCACAAACACTGAGCTGGCACGCTCCAATACCCGAAACCTATACCAACCATTCCAGGACCCTCCTTGTACCAACCATTCCAGGACCCTCCTTGTACCCTCAAATAGGGGTATATGGCCCCAAATAAGGGGCATTTAGGGTCTAATAGAGGGTAGATGGAGGGTCTAGGTTCTACACTCCAGGAAGCCCAAAACACGGTAAGACCTCCAGTCTTCCGAAACCCTGATCCCTACCTTAACCCCACGTAACCTACACTTTTGAGGACTTATATAAAGAAATCATAGTAGGGTTCCCTAAAAAGGTAGGTTCCGTAGGGTCCAGGTAGACCCGAACCCAAAATCCGTAACCCAAAAACCCCCAGCCTGAACCCGAAGCTCCGAACTCCGAGCCCTCGCCACCCCCTAAGGTCCTCAGAGTAATATGGGGGCCTTAACCAGAGGCTCCATAGTAGTTCCTTTTTGGGATAACTTTATAGGCTTCTAAATATGAACCCCAAAAAGGAAGTACTTTGGAGCCTTAGGGTAATGGCCTGAATAATTAGACTTGGGTTGTTGTCAAAATTAGGGTCCCTTTTCGGGTCCCTATTACAATACGGCACCTAATATTTGGGGTATCCCTAAAAGGGGCCATCATTTTTGACAACCACCCAATAGGGTTTTGGGGCCATCCCTAACACCTACAGCCTGCTGGGAGCCGGACTCAATGTCGCGGAAGTCTCTCTTCTCAGCCGATGCCTTCAACCACAGGGGAAACGGAGGGACCCTTAATGGGGACCCCTACCCTATAATGGGCTATGTAAAGGTTTTTAAATGGCTATATTAAGGGTATACATGGGGGTCCTTATTAAGGGTCCCTCCTTTTACCCTTGGGTTCCAGTAACGCCACAGCAGCAGGCGTTAGGGTGTTTGGTTTCCGGATGAGGGTTTCGGGCTTCGGGTTTAGGGTTTGGGGGTTTAGGGTTTAGGGGCTTAGGGTTTAGGGTTTAGGGTTTAGGGGTTTAGGGTTTAGGGGTTTAGGGTTTAGGGGTTTAGGGTTTAGGGTTCAGTGCTTTGGGTTCAGCGCTCCAAGTAGGGGATTGGGACTTAAGGCTTTAGGAGACGACGGCTTAGGGTTCTACGAATACAATGCTTGACGAAGCCCATGCCAATGCAAAAACTCTAAAGCCTCAATGCCGAACCCTAAATAGAGGCCTAGCAAAGGCTTGTCATCGTTGATTCCGCGATCTTTTCAGACTTCATCGAGCAGGGTCTAGGGTTTCGCTCAGGTTCCCTGCTTCCAGCACAATGGACAAGGTTCGCCTCTAATCTATGGAAGAACTGGTGATGCTTCCCTGAACTCTGAACCCCAAGCCTTCTTGAACAAGGCCGACATCTGGAGTCTAGGGGTTCAGGCGCTTAGATTCCACCGATGAGACCGCAATCCTGTAAGACTCCCTCAACCCTACACCTTTTTATCACCAAAATCACCTAAACCTAAAGCCTCAAAATCGCCTAACCCTAAACCCTCAACCCCAAAATCCTAAACCTTAAACCCCTAAACCCTACGTCCTAACGAAGGTTTCGAAAGTCCCGAGGCCTCGTTGCCAACGCTGTCGGTGGACACCTCAGGCGCCAGTCTCGGGGTTTAGGGCTTGTGGGTTTAGGGCTTTAGGGGATTGAAAGTCTGAGGGGTTTACGGGTTTAAAAGTTTAGGGGTTTAGGGGTTTGAAAGTTTTAGGGTTTAGGGCTTTAGGGTCTTTTTGGGAAATCTTGAGGTTGAAGGTTTGGGTCATTACCAGTGTCACCAGCTATAACGAAGCAACCGAAGCCCAAAACCCGAAAGAACACATCTTAGGATGAAGTTCGAGCAGTATAGGGCCGCTGTTGGTTCATCTGTAGTGGTTGCTGTTTCAGAGACTCTACAGAAACCTTGTGGTAGCCTGAGCGCGCAAGCCCCCAGTGCCGGTACGGTCAAGGCATTGGCATATTGGCTTCAGGGCTTCAGGGTAGGATTGCCTGCGTATACCTGCAGCCTGAAGCCGATCTCAGCATCTAGCACTCTGGGGTTCTGATTTCGCGTCGTTTTTTGGAGGCAGGTTCTATAGAGTCTAGCGTCCGTGGATGTTGCTCTGATCTTGACGGTCCGTCTTGGTGGGCCCCATAAGGCCCAGAAGCCCTGAAACCAACATCTACAACCCTAAAGTCCCAACTCCGAGACCTTCCAGCCCGCCAGCCCCCAAACCCCAAAGCTGCGAAAGCTTGGTCGAACCTCATACTTCAAAAGACCTGAAACCGTTCAAGGGGAGTTTTTCTGATTCAAACCCCGAAGCTGGAAACCCCATTTTCCTCGAAGTCGCTGATCCGACTGTCCCCTGAAAGCTGAAAGCTGAGAGAGCGTGCTGAACGCTTCAGCTTCGGCATCACGCTGCCCGCTGTCGGCATGGAGTTTCCTATGACTTGGAGTTTTCTTACCTTTGGTTACTAGGGAATGGAAGAATGGTAGTAACAGTAGTCTTAATTGTACCCCATTCCTCCAGTCCCTACTAACCAAAGGTAAGCCTAGGGTTTGGATGCGGCAGAAGAGCTCAAGGATGTGGCACGGCAAGCAAAACTCATGAGCTCCCTAAATCCCAGTTCGAAAACTTTTTGTCGCTACCTAACGGGAGCATCTGTGCACCCGAGACCCCAAAGGAGAGAAGGAAGGACGGAAAGGACCCTTTCTAGTACCTCCGACAGATTCCTGAAGCAGCGGCTTTACTATGCGGTTGTTGCTGTTGTGCTTGCTACGGTATAAGGGTTCCTGTGAGGATCTGAGGGTGCCCCCAGAAATGCAAGTTTGAAGGTCGTTTGATGAGAATTTCAATTGAAGAGGGGTCTGGGTTTCGGGAATTGGGGGGAGGGTTTTAGCGGACTTGATGTGAATTGGGGCCTAGAGTTCGTGGCCTGGGGTGTCGGGGTCTGCGACTGCAGTGCAGAATTCAGGCCGAAGGTGTTCGGTCCCGGCGAAACCTTACAACAAGCACAGCTGCGGCAGCGAAGCCCGCAATTTCAAGAGCTTAGACCGAAAGATCTCAACATCAACTATTCCGCCCTGACATCACTACTGTTGGTCATAAATCCTGCATTACCCATAGCAAGGAATGCACCATTATTCCCGTAGTTTGGGCTCCTTAAGGTAATGCAGGATTTATATCATCAGCCGTATGAGCACTGAAGAGCTTGAGGCCCGGTCCAGCCTCATGGCTTTGTGCCCCGTCTCAGAAGCTGTGAGCAAAACCAAACTCAATTGAAAGGGTTTAGGTAAACCTGAAACGCTCGGTGGCAAATTGCAGTAAGTTCATGGTTCAAAAGGACTACAGATGGCACTGCTGAGCTTCATCAAATAGGGGCAGACGAGTGCGGCTGGCTATGCTGATTTTTCACATGTATTTTTCCACCCTGAAGGTATTCCAAGCATAAATGTCCGTTGCCCTCTAAACCCCGTCCTAGAGATGCCCGGTCCTTTCACCGTGGTTCTGCTGGAAGTCAATCCCAGGTTGCTTGGATTCACGTCCAAGTCCTGGATTGCAAAATGCAAGGCTGTCAGGTGTGCGCAGTGTGGATGGGGGCTTCGGGTGCACTGTCCCGGGGTGTAGGTTCTTTGGGCTTGGGCCTGATCCTCCAACCCTAAACCTAAACCCCAACCCTAAACCCTGTTTGAACCCCAACCCTAAACACTAACCCCCCCAACCCGACACCCTAAACCTCAAAATTCTTTGGGCAACCTTTAAGAGATAGAGGTCCGCCCTGGGAAGTCCAGCTCGAGAAACCAAAATGTATGGATATAATATATTTGGGATTTCGGATTCGGGGTTCGGAGGGTTGAGGCGTTTAGTGGTTTTGGGTGTAAGGCTTCGGGAGCAGACTCTAGCATCATCCCCGATCAGGGCTTCAGGGTTTCTGCAAGGTCGAAGGGTTCAAGCTTCGGGGGTTTAGGGCGTTCGACCCCCTCCTGCGCCGTCTGGAGAGCGAGCTGCTCGATTCGGCCCAGATCTTTCAGCATAAACCTGGCCAGTGGTTTCGGGTTTAGGGTTTATATGGGCGCTTTCGAAAATGGGGGACCCCAACACAAGTAACCCAAATAGTGGCATCCTAATTACAAGACACCACAATGAGGTACCCCCATTTTCGGAAACTTCCATATAGGGAGAACTCCAGTCTCTCCAAAATCTCTCTCCTTCTTACCACACATATTCTTGAAATGATTGTAGGGGCCCCTGATCAAGGCCCTTAGGGCCCTTACGAACCGCAAGAAACCTTCGGACAAGTCCTTACAAAACCGTACGATGAAGTCCCCATGCGGTTTGTCTAGGAACCTCTTGAATGGCCGTCGGTATCGGAGGCATGGGGTTCGCTTCCCGAAATACAGGATTTCTTGTTGGGATAGGGTCTAGTTAGAGTTTAGTGTTTGGGGTTTAGTCTGTAGAGTTTAGTGTTTGAGGGTTTATGGTGTAGGGCAGGGTGGGGGAGTCTTCTGGGTGCATTGGGGGTTTAGCCTTTAGGGTCTTTCGGGTTCAGGCGTACTGGCACTTGACCCGAGTTCCTGGATCAATGGGGTAACGCACTTTAGAGGGAAAATGATACTGTAGCTTTACACAGAGTGCCAAATAACTACAGGAGTGCTAATAATTTTGCAAGTGAGCCAACTTGGATGAAAGCCCATAGAACCGTCACCCAAAAACACGTCCGCCACGTTGATAGCCTGAAGGCATGGTTCCCTAGGATACCCAGTAACCTAAGAATAAAAAGGCCTCTCTTTTTGGTACTGGGTAACTGTATAAGGAACCTAGGACTACAAAAAGGGAATAAGGGTACTACTGGGCATCCTAGTTCCGGTCTAGGGCTGGACAGCTCTTGGTTTAAGAGTCTTCTAGCAGACTAGATGTACGGTTGATGATATAAATCCTGCATTACCCATAATAAGGAATGCATGGGAATTATGGTATACTTCTTATTATGGGTCATGCAGGATTTATATATTCAACAGTATTGCTGAGAACTCCAGCTAAAGTCCCCAAGCGACGGTACTAAGACCCCCTATGCAAGGTATCCTTGGCTGCGAGATCTCTGGATCATGACGGGCATTTAACACACGGGACCGATGCCTCCCAGTTTAGCGAGCAAGACGTCGAAGTCTTCTACGTTTAAGCGGCTGGCGGGCCCATTTCGGCCCTTGGAAATCAAGTTGAAAGACTTGGTTTCTAGCGGGGTCCTAGTTTTGGGGCTCTGAAAAGTCTTTATGAATAGGTACCTCTATAGGAACCATAAGGGAAATTAAAAAGTTTCCCAAATTGCCACCCAGCTAGTGACTACAGCGATGCTTCAAATCCTCCCGGCATTCAATCCAAGAAAGGAGGGACCCTTAGTAAGAACCCCTAGGTATATACCCTTAACATAGCTATTATATACCCATTATATAGCGTAGGGGTCCCCATAAAGGGTCCCTCCTTTCCCCTTTGATTCAAGCGTGGCCGAGCGCACTGAACATCTCGGTATGCCTGGCGCGAGAGGAGGAGGCTGCCCAGGGCTTCGGGCTCACGGTTTCGGGCTCAGGGGCTTGTCTTATCCAAGGGTAAAAGGAGGGACCCTTAATAAGGACCCCTAGGTTTCTACCCTTAATATAGCCATTATATACCCATGATATAGCCACTTATTGGGTAGTTGTCCCCCTTATATAAGGGTCCCTCCTTTTCACCTTGGATCTTAGCTTGCCTGCAATCCCACCTGCAAAACTCAAGCCGAACACGCAGCTCAAACGAACAACCAACAAGACTAAATCTGGACCCATCAGACAACATGCCCAAACCCTAATTAAACCCTACACCCTTGACCCTAAACCTTGCACTCTAAACCCTACACCCTCAACCCTACACCCTGAACCCGGTAGCACGGAACCTACGGAAGTCTTCGTGGCACTGCTCGCGCTCCCCCGCCTGGACGAGGCGCGAGTGTGTCGCGTGCAGCTCCTCGTCTTCGACATCCTCCGGTGCTTCCTCCTGCGACGGTTTAAAAGTTTACTCCCAAACTTGTTCATAATTAGGGTAATTAGGGCTCTACATTACACGATAAGGGAAACTAACAATTATCCCAAATCGATACCCAGTTGAGGGTTTAGGGGCGAACCCAGGGTTCTTCGAGGGACTGAATACTGCGGAAAGGCCAGCAGAACCCAAATTCCTACACCCTCAATGATGAGGCGGTACCAAGATCCTGAGCCCGCAACTCGTGCCATGAAGCATCAACTCATGCCACTCGGGAACATCCTTAAACCCTAAACCCTAAACCACCAAACCATAAACCTTATAAATCTCTAAACCACAAACCCTAGATTCCCAAACCCTAAACTCCAAACCCTAAACCCCATTTAGCTCAAGAGATTCAAACCCTCTGGGCTTCGTTGCTTTTCAAGGCTTAGGGTTTTAAGGTTTTTACGTCCAGGGTTCGGTGTATTAAAACACACAGGAATTGGGCGGTGCGAATCCGAAGTGAGCCGCCTTTTGCTAGCATTGCCCAAAAGCACACCTCGAACCAGCACCGATATTCACACGGCATCAAACAATAAGGATGATAACTACCTATGGAAGCCGTTATACATAAACATATGCATGTCTGTACACATATGTACGATTATGGGTATGTATGTATGTATGAATACATACATGCATGGCTGGATGGATGGATGAATGACTGCATGTGTGGGTGGCTGGATGGAAGGAAGGACGGGCGGATGGATGGTTTTATGTTTGTATGTGCACGGTTCTACATGCGCACACATACTTTGCAAACAGAGCCATGTCCATATGTAAGCAAATATTGTATGATTCGCGGAAATCCGTCCTGTAGGGCTGTAGGGAAGCTCCATGAACAGCCCATTTATAATTAAGCTGCTTGAGTGAATGGCCCTGTGGTGTGAGCCTGCAGCCAAGAGCTTCTGCGTTGATCTCTGCATCCTAGTCCTGAGCCGTAATCCCTAAACCTTCATCCCATCTCCCTCACCCACACTCCTACGCCACAGAAACTTGTCCCCCATGAGCCCCCAATCCGAATTTCAAACCACTATTCTACACCCCTAGGCCCTTTGAAAATCCTGCGGAAGAATGCAGAACCCTTATTCAGCCCATGGTAGTCAAATCTTTGGGAAGCCCTAAGCCCTTAACCTTTTAAATCCTGCTCGACAAGCCCTTACATACAACAAAACCTACCAAACTTAAGCCCAAAATGAAGCCCTAAGCCCTTAGACCGTAAAACCCCTACTAAACTCAAGCCCAAAACTCAAAACCCTCAACGTAATCCCAAATCCCTAAACTTAAGCCCAAATCCCTAAACTTAAGCCCAAACCCTAAAAACCCTAAACCCTAAAGCCCTAAAAACCTAAACCTAAGCCCCAAAGAACCCCAAACGCCCGACAACTGCGCCTCCGCGCCCTCAGCCTCGCCCGCGAGAGCGGAGCGTCTCACCTGCATCGGCGTGGTCCGCTTCTTCTCTTAGTGACTTACTTGGAGGTTTAGGGTTTAGGGTTTAGGATTTAGGGTTTAGGGTTTAGGATTTAGGATTTAGGGTTTAGGGTTTAGGATTTAGGGTTTAGGGTTTAGGGGTTTCTTCTTCTCTTAGTGACTTACTTGGAGGTTAATGTGTAAACTCATCATTTTGAGCGTCGCAGATTGGGGGATCATTCTGAAGCAACAATTGCGTTTGAGAGGAATCTAAGGGTGCACACGACAGCTGCAGAGAATCTGCACATGAAGGGCCTTGACGGGCAAACTCACAGACAGACAAACAGACAGACAGACAGACAGCCCACACAGACAGACACAGACAAACACACACAGACACAAACACACAGACACACACACACACACATACACGCACACACACACGCACACACGCACACAGACACGCACACAGACAGACACACCCACCCACACACACACACACACACCCACACACACACGCACACGCACACACAGACGCACACACACACACACACAGACACACACACACACACAGACACACACGCACACAGACACACACACACACACACACACACACACACACACACACACACACACACACACACACACACACACACACACACAGACACACACTCACACAGACACACACGCACACAGACACACACACACAGACGCACACGCACACAGACACACACGCACACAGACACACACGCACACAGACGCACACGCACACAGACGCAGACACAGACACAGACACAGACACAGACACAGACACAGACACACACACACACACATACATACATTTGCAACCCTAAACCCTTTCATGTCCTAAATGCTGAGTTCTGCATCCCAAACCCCCAGCGTCCTAAGCCATAACTGCTCATCTAATGCCGAGCAACCCAAAACCTTATACAACCCTGTCATGTAGGGGCCCGAATAATTAGAATAGGGTTTGGGGGCCTATCATACTACAATTACAATTAGCATAGCATAGGTAATTAAGGTCCCCCACAATAAAACCTTTACAAAACCCTGAAAGCCATCCTCAAAAGTCTGGGGTTCCGTCTCTCAAAAAGTCGCCCTCTGGCGAATCCACTCCCAGGCCTCGGCTAGCGACTGGTCCAGGAACACCCGCTCCAACAGTCCCAAGCGGCGGTCCTACGAGGATTTAGGTTTAGGATGTAGGGATGTAGGGATTTAGGGTTTACGGGGTTCATCTTATTGGGTTTAGAATTTAGGGATTTAGGGTTACGCACCTCAGGACACCTACAACCCTAGAGCCTTGGATATCAAATCCCCCTCTGCACAACTTGGCGAGCATGCAGGGACATGCGGGGGGTCTGAATCTTGCATGATGGCCGGAGATCCTACATCAAATGGGGGTTTCCGAAAATTAGGGATACCTAATTCGGGGATCCTTATAATCAGGATCCTACTATTGGAGGTACTATACTCGGGTACCCTATACCCTAAACCCTTAAACCGTGGAAACTCCCAAATCCCTTCGGTACTGAAAGCCTCAGAGGACGGGTCTGGTCAATGTACCCTGGCCGGGATCTGGAGGGGGTTTAGGGTTTAGGGTAGGGTTTAGGGTTTAGGGTAGGGTTTAGGGTTTAGGGCCTAAACCCTGAACCGTGCATCCTAGCCGAACATTGGGAGTTAGGATTAGGGGACCCTCGGGGATAAAAGAGCTTATTGAGAGGGCCCCCTTTAAGAGAGCCAGAACTAGGGTTCGGAAGGGGTACCCTTTAAGGGGTCTCCCTCATCATGCTACCCAAATATGAGACCACGAGGAGGACGGCGCGCTGAGGGGTAGAGGTAAGCGAAGACCCAGACCGGGAACCGGGTTTCGGGTTTAAGGTTTTGGTAGTTTACGCTTTAAGGACTAGGGTACTTCGAACCCGAAGTCCTTGTCGAAGATTTTGACGAGCGTGTCGAGCTGGACAGGCTCGTTGGTGGAGCAGGCGGCACAGAACTCTTGGCAAGTAACCTCAGGCCAGGCCGCTGTAACGAAGTACGCTGTCACTGTACGTAAGATTTAGGTTTAGGCTGCCTATGGCCTATGGTGACTGGCAAAACCCCAAAGGTGCCAGCTAATTACTCATCCAGTGGCTGTCTCGGACATAGCAGAATCATGCCTCACAAGTATTAGATGTATGAGCCCTCAAACTCAGAAGGACAACACCAGCGCGGATCACCGGGATCTCTTGTACCGTAAACCTACAGAGAAGCCCATCTAACCGACTGCAAAAAGCGCACGCAAGCCCGAGGGCCCAGACAACGTCGGTGCTTGGTGCGTTTTCCTTCTGGAACGATTTGAGACCTGGGCGTTGGTCGTTTGGGCATATGCGTCGAGCTTTGAGCGGTAGGGGATTGAACCTAGACCCACCAACTAATTACCGTCTACTGTATGCCAAACACCCACTAGTAAGAACCATAAGGCCTCTATTAAAGGGCCCATAAAGGATTATTGATTGAAGAGCACCTGTAGGGTCGTTCTTCGGATTTGCTTGCGCACTTGACGGCGTGTCAGGCTTAATGGGTAGGGTTGCGGCGTTAGGGGTTCAGGGTTCACCGGTTTAGGGTTTGGGGGCTTAGGGGCTTAATGGGGTTTACAGCGATGCAGGGTATACAGTTCCTGGCTCGGGGGTTAATTAGGGTCTAGTTGAGAAGCTTCTGACAGGATGCAGTGCATTTACGGGTCGGTAGTTTTCTAAATTACGGCCCCTGTTTAAGCCCTCCGTAGTACAGCACCCTTACCAAAGGAACCCTCATTCGGAGAACTACCCAGAAAAGGGTTCTGTATTGAAGGGATTATGGTGGCTGGGCTGTGTACGATTTCGGCCGTAGCACTTAATGCCCATCCGACCCTAAACACCCTAAAACCCTGAACCTTAAACCCCTAAAGCCACAAAACCCCTAAATGCTCTAAAACACTCGAATATTTAGGGGGCTTCATAATTAGTAGCGAGTTTTGGGGCCCACTATGCTACAGTTGTCAGAAGGAGCTCCAAATAGTCAGGCCCCTTCTTCTATTCTATCCTCACAATAGCCTTTCTAGTATCCCTTACGGACCCTTTACGAGACCCTTTAAGGGAACCCTATTCTAATTATTGAGGCACCGATATTACCCCCTCTAAAACCCTGAGCCCTAAACCCTAAATGCTCTAAAGACTCTAAACCCACAGCACTAAACCTTGAACCCTAAACCGCTAAAACCCTAAAACCCTAAAAACCCTAAACTCTAAAACCCTAAACCCTAAAACCCTAAAACCTCTAGAAGCCCTAAAACCCTAAGCCCAAAAACCCCTAAAACCTCTAGAAGCCCTGAGTCTCAGGCTGTTGAAGATCACGTGGCTGATGCGCTCGATCGATGCTTCCTCGACCTCCCAGGGTGTGGGGTTTTGGGGGTTTAAGGCTCCTTAAAGGGTTCTATAAGGGATCCTTGGGGTTTAGGGGTTTAGGGCTGCTTAAGGGGTTCTATAAGGGATCCTTGGGGTTTAGGGGTTCAGGGCTCCGTAAAGGGGTTCTATAAGGGATCCTTGGGGTTTAGGGGTTTAGGGCTCCTGAAGGGGTTCTATAAGGGATCCTTGGGGTTTAGGGGTTTAGGGCTCCTTAAAGGGTTCTATAAGGGATCCTTAAGGGCTTAAGGGTTCAGGGGTTTAGGGCTCCTTAAAAGGTTCTATAAGGGATCCTTGAAGGGGACGAAATCCCTGAAGAATTCGAGATTCGTTCGGATTTTCTTTTGAGGTGGCGGGACGTAAAAGATCAGGGGTAATACGTGGGGTTATGGTTAGACAATAGAGCTAGCTGTAACCCTACTTACTAAGTCACCTGATCCTTTACTGGGTTCTTCTTGAGGAGTTTAAATTAAGTTTAAGTTACCATAAACGGGATCGATAGTAAATAATACGGTTTTTTGTTATGGCAACTTAAACTTAAGTGACATCCCTCAACAAGAACCCAGTTTAAGAAGGGGGAGGTTGCTTTGGGATTGGGTGTTCAGGGTTTAGGGTCGTCGGGGCCAAGGCTCTCGGCTAACGCTGGTCTTGCGGTGGGACTCTAACCCCTACTTGTCGGGTATCATGGGGAACTAAAGGTGAACCTCTTTGGTTAGAGGGATTATTTGGGGACTATACTACCAAGACAAGGTTAAAGGCTACCTGCTCTACTAGTTCGATTGATGTAGGGGGCGGAGCGGTCTTAATAATTAGAATTGGGCTTGGGGTGATTCAAGTATAGTTAGAATAAGGACTCCCAAGGCATCGTATTGGAAATTAACCATGCCTCTGCTTTGTTGGCTTCGCAGGTTCAGGAACAGTAGTTCTGACTCAATCAAACAGGGTTGCGTGAAGCTAGCATATCTACGTCGAGACAAAGCGCCGATGCCTAATACTCGAGGCTTTCCATTGCACAAAGCCAAGCAATCCAAAACTCTTTCGCCCATACCCACGAAGAAGTCACACGGCCATCTGGCGCAATCAAGGAGTGTTCTTGAATCCATGCGAAGTACACTGGTCGCATGTGCTGCTGAACATGAGAGAAGATTTGATATCTCTTGTGCCGGCCGGCGCCGGAGGGAAGCGAAACTATGCCCGACGGACGAGAGGCTTAGACCAGGGCCAGTTTAGGGCTTTAGATTGGAACACTTAGCGGTCTTAACGCATAGGGCCTAGGGCAGAAGACCATAGGATTCCTCACAAAGCCTTTTAGATAACACCGAAACCTCGAAGCTTTAAACCTTCATACTAACAAAAGAAGCAGCTGGGCTTTGGGTCTGGTTATGAGTATGGCTATGGCGGCTATGGATGCCCCATAGCTTCAACGGCTGAAATGCCCTGCCCCAAGCAAACCTTTGGAACACATGGCCACCGCAAAGAGCTTGAATTGAAACCTGCGACTAGAAAACAGATTATCCAATCATCTTGACAAAATAATTAGAATAGGGTTTTAGGGCCCACTCTACTATAACCACAATAAGGAACCCACCAACATATTTAGGCCCCCGTATCAGGAGAGCTTTGCAGGCTTCGGGTTTAGGGCTTAGGAAACATTGGGCTTTTGCGACCGGGGTGTTCGTCGTAGGTCGCGCTCCGGCCGAGGAGCCTCCATGTTCTCGCAAATCTTGCCGAGCCTGGCACTGTGTGCTTCAGGGTCAAGGGTATGTAAATAAACATGGTATATGGCATGTAGTGCATAGTACGTAGTATATAGTATACAGTATAGTCTATAGTAATGTAGACAATATGGAGAGTATGGTGGTAGTCCGTCTAGGGTCCGGAGGAAGGGTTTAGGGTGACAGGTTTTGGGTATGAAAGGTTCGGGTTTTGCCCGTACAAGCTTGATGTCTCTGAGTTTCAGGGTTTATGGGCTTCAGGGTACCCTGACCCAAACCCGAAACCCTGAACCAAAACCGTCCAAACCCTGAGCAGCTAGCAATCAGAAGCTCGGCTGCATGTGGTCATTACGGGTGAGGGTTCCTGGGACTTATGAGTCTTGAAGGGCTGCCGGCTGCAAATCTACTCCCTCAACCCTAAATTACTAAACCAAAACCAAAGTTTTATACTTTTCAGATTCAGCTAACCCTAAACTGTTAGTTATTACTAGACTGACAGTTGGTTAAGAAATCGAGCAACTCGTGGCCTGGAGCCCACTTTAACCTATCACGCCAGACTCATCAAATCAGGCCCCACATTGCCAAACCTGGCAACGCTAAACTGCACATAAACATAAGGATCTGACAATTGTGGCTTTCTGGAATCCACCTGAGAGGTTCCCTTATGTCCCAAAACTAGAACCCTTATGTTTAGGTGCTTCTTCGGGCCCCTAAGCAATGCTGGCTCCCAAACCCTCAAACCAGCTAAACACTGAAATTCCCTGACAATGATTTTAATGTAGTTCTGCGGCACACGGGACTGTTGGGGTTTAGGGTTTAGGGCAACCCTGAGTCAAGCTATCTTAGACCCGAAGCAGGCGTGGCCGTGCCTCTCTGCGACGGCTTTCCTGGGCTGGACACTTGCAGCTTTTGGCATTTGGCCCTTTCCGAAAACAGAGGACACTAATATAATACCCTGAATAGTAGGGTCGTTATCATAAGGACCCAAAAGAAGGTACCCTTAATTTTCGGAAACTCCCATTTGGGCGTGAGGCACCCCAAGTTTGGAGTTGGAAGGCTGCGGGTCTGGAGGTTCAAATTGCTTGTGGTCATATCGCGACATATCGTATCTGTGTCTTTCTTTGGTGCGGACATTTGGCGGTGTGTATGTGCACGGGCCCTGTGCACCCTTTTGAAGCCAAACCTCAGAGACCGGCCTCACTTTCACAGAACCGCATCAAGACATGTCGAATCCACGAGAACCTTCAACCCCAGCGCCTTGAAAAAAGTCCCCCAGGTCGGGTGGCAAGGCGCAAAACAACGAACACAACCAGGCCTAGCCTGGTGTAGAAAAGAACAAAAGGCTCATTCCTGAAGACCTCAGCTCTCAGGCACAAAACCCAAGCATTGTAAATGGGAGTTTCCGAAAATGGGGGACCCTAGTGTAGTACCCTATAGAATAGGATCCTTATTCTAAGGACCCCAAACAATAATAAGGTACCCCTAATTTTCGGAAACTCCCAAATCATAAAGAGCCATCCCATGCTCCCTTGATGCGAAGCAGCTTCCGAAGGATGAGGATTCCAAACCTTCTGGGGCATCTCGGCCGAGGGCCACTTGCACACACACCATTTTATGAGGGACGTCGAGTTCTGTGAACATGGAAGGCATGCAGCTGCCGAGGGCAGCAGGCACCTATCATCCAAATCCGGACTCTTACGTCACCAACTCGAAACCTGAATGTATGTATGTATGTATGATCATGAATGCATGTCTGTACACACGTAGGTGCCAACCCTAAACCCCCTAAAGAGCAAAGCCTCAAACAAGACCCGAGCTTCTTACCTTTGGTTAGTGGCGAATGGAAGAATGGTAGTAATAGTAGTTATAACTGTATCCCATTCCTCTAAACCCTAAACCCTACTAACTAAAGGTAAGGCTTGTCCCAGCGTCTTCGTGATGCCGTCCGAGCCGGAGTTCTCTTTGACGCGGCCACGGAGGTCCATAAACCTTCCAAAACGGGCCCTTTAAGAGTTCCTCGAAAGTTGGTTTAGGGCTACATTTAGGGTTTAGGCTTTATAGGGTTTAGGGTTTCCGAAAAAGGTTCAAACGCATAAGCGTACCTTAAACAGAGGCCAGGTTTGCAGTTCATGATTCCGTCTGGAGTGCTGTCAGGTACCTCTCGCCAGCCTGGCAAAGATCCAAGGCCCTCGGAAAAACAAAAAAAAAAAACATTGCAGGAACGGTTTGTGCTGAGGATTTATGGTTGGAGTTTACAAGCGAAGCTGACGATTAAACGTAACCGGGGTCTTTCCTTGAGAATCCCGGTGTGGTCCCGGTGTAGTTGTCATATCAAGGGTTCCAACACCTAACCTAACGCTACTCATGCAGACGAGCCATAGTTGGAACCACAACAACAACAAACGTACAACAGTTTACGATATAAATCCTGAATGACCCATGATAACGAATATATATATATATATATATATATATATATATATATATATATATATACACACACCATAATTCCCATATATTCCGTATTATGGGTAATGTAGGATTTATATCATCAACCGAATAATCCCGGCAGTCCTAGCAGTCCCAAGTCTTAATCATGCTCCACATCTTGTAAGCCGGAAACCCTTGCCATAAAAAACAATAGATAGAATACCTTTAAAATCGCGAACAAAACTCCATACTACTCCTGTAAAAACCGCTGCGAGCCCCCTTTCCGGATCCCCATAAAGGCCCCATAAATCCCGAAACCCCTAAACCCTCAAAGCGCCTTATCATCCTAAAAAAACCCGTGTACACCATAAAAGACAGGGGAGGCCCTTTCTGGGCTGCCCTGGCGCGCTGCTGTAGGTCAGCAGCCGGGCAGAGAACCCTTTCAGAGCTTCCGCGACGTTCACCTCCTGTGGAAGAAATAGGGTTTAGGGTTTAGGGATTTAGGGCTCAGGGATTTATAGCGGTTTGGGGATTTATAGGGATTTAGGGTTTAGGGATTTAGGGCTTAATTTGGCGTTGAGGGCCTCTGTGCAAACTGCTAGACCCCCAAAACCCGACCGCCCCAAAACCGTAGAAGCTTAGGGCTGCTTACTCCAGCCAAAAAAGGTTAACCTTTTGAATTGTAGTATGATTGGTTTAGGGTTTAGGGGTTTAGGGATGGTTAGGGTTTAGGGGTTTAGGGATGGTTAGGGTTTAGGGGATACAACCCCCAAAATTAGGCTAAATGTTACCTACTCAGCCCCGAAGCAAAGACAGCACAGGATGCACCAAGGCCTGGTGAACCACGGCACGGTAGATGCTGGACAGGGTGCCCAGGAAAAGCATGCAGAACCTGATTCTTTGGGCTTAGGGCATAAAGTGGTGCTTTGGGCTTAGGGCTTAAAATGATGCTTTGGGCCTATAGGGCTTAATAGCTGAGTCAAAACCTATTACTGACTCTTCTGATCTCAAAGCTCACGAACCACACGCCGAGGATGCATGAGCCTCCTCGCGCAATTAAATGTTTGAAGCTCGTCCCCCTTCCCCCTTCATAGCCATAACAGTTGCGGACACTTTGCTCCAACCCAGGTACTGGTGGCTCCGAGCCGTCGGGCTCGTGTGGATGGTCTTGACCATATGCCAGATGCATCAGCAGAAATTTTTAGTTTATTTCTTGAAGGAAATCCGTCGTCTCGCTTGAAAGCATCGGCATCGATATTTCTATTGCAGTGCCATACTCAGACTCTCGACAAGGACCCTGACTCCATAGACCCACATCTGAAAGTAGTCTGAGACCCCGAATTGCAAGCCTTCCGAAACTTGTCCTCACCTTTAGCATCTCAACTGCAAAATCAAAATCACCGTTATCAGCATCATGACCATCATCGTCATCACAATCGTCATCATCATCATCAACAAAATCATCGTCATGACTATCCCCAGGGTCACGACCAGGATTATGGCTTCGGATTCAGTCAAACGGTTGGTAATGCACCAGAAATCACTTCAGAACAAAGGCTACAGCATCTCGAACTGGCAGCAGGTAGCTGAAATCCTGAGAAGGTCAACCCTGTACTTTAAGGATTCGGTTGTAGCCATTCTGGCATGAGCAATATAAGACGCAGCCTTCAATCCCCACGCCTGAACACGAAGCCATGTAGCATCTGTTGGATGATGAAACCGAACAAGGGTTAGATTAAGCCCCGAAACCCCACCCCCACCACCATGGAGCCACTGTTTGAAGCCGAGGTCAAAGCCAGTAGGTTATGAGGACTGGAAACCTGCAGCGAAGCGATATGACACTGGAATTCTGGGTTTCCAGAACTCGGCTAGGCTTCCACGCTGGGCAGCAGGATTCAAGGGTAAAGAGTCCAAGATTTCATGATTTGGGAGTTTGGGGCTGTAAGGATTTGGAACAAAGAGGTATACGGTTTGAGGTCATTTCTTCTGAGATTCTGGGTCCAAGTCTTGGCATAACACCCATAAGCCCGGTCATAAGCCCTTACTCTAGGCCGGTTGATCACCCAAATATAAACCCAACAGACTCGAGGCTTGAAACCCGCCTAAGAAGTGTCAACCACCTGAAACCCCCAAAACCCCAGGCACGAAACCTGACAACGGCCGACATGCCAAACTCCGCCAAACCCTAAACCCTGCACCCCTAAACCCCAAAGTCGATAAGCCGGCAGACAAGAAGCATCAAACCCTGAACCCCGAAACCCTAAACGCCTAAACCCCAAGAATCTAAAAACCCTAAAACCCCCGAAACTCAAGACCCTAAAGTGTCAAACTCCGCCAGGACCGCTGGATCCAGAGCAGAAGCGCGGAGAGACTTCGAAGCAAGGCCTGGTGTTGGCCGGAGCTTTGGGCCCTTTTGGGGTTTCGGGTTTAGGGGTTTAGGGGTTTAGGGTCTAGGGTTTTAAGTTTAAGGTTTCCGGTTACAATGGAGAATTGAGGTTGGGGACTTCGGGACTTAGGTTTATTCAGCTGGGATTCGGGGTTCGTAAGCACAGGGCTGTAGGCTATAGAGAGCCCTAGACCTTTATCGTTTAGGGTGTCTGTCGATTTCAACTTAGGATCCCATATTTGCAAAACAATTATCCGAAACCGATACCTTGTGAAAGAGGGGGTTAGGGCCCTTAAGTGTTACCTGCTCCCCCCCCCCCCCCGCCCAGAGTAAGTCAAACAGTGGCCCAACACCTTGCGAAGGCAACTATGCTACATTCTACATGGATAGTTATCAAAATTATGGTCCCTTTTTGGGTACCCTAGATAATAAGTGCCGTATTATAATAGGGACCCCAAAAGGGACCATCATTTTGACAACCACCCACATACTTCCGGGTCTAGGCAGAAACTCTGGGACTTTAAGTTCAGGGCTCAGGATTTTCATGCGGTGTTTCGGGCTTTCAGTGCTGGGGTTGCGGTTCAGGGCTTAGGATGATTAAAAGCTGGGCTGTGCTTTAAGCCCTTTGACAACTATTTATGAGTAGGTTCCCTTTGTCAGGACATAAGGGAAAATAAAAATTATCCCAAAGCGCAACCCAGTAAGTTATTAGTTATAGGCTTAGGGTTTGCTACAGGCGCCTAAATAATTACTAGTACTACTTTGGGGGCTCCTAATTGTAATTGTAGTGTACTATCCCCCCACAACATTCGTTTAAATGGTTCGAAGTATTACCAAGCCCCCTAGACTCGACGCCCTTCCGGTAACCCATATACAACCCTTAAGCGAATCCGAGTTTAATTTTATTTTTTTGGCCCCTACAGTACAAGTAATGCTTAACAAGCCGGAGGATTCTAGTTTCGGAGCCCACTGGCTCTGCCGGCTTCGCCGGTTTAGGGTTTAGGGGTTTAGGGGTTAGGGTTTTGGGCTTAAGGAGCCTAGGCGTGAAAAAGTTGGGCCGAGCGTAGTCTACGGATGTCTGCTTCCATCACATAGAAGCATCTGTTTATCTAATCCAAACACGACGTCCACACATCAGGAGGCAGCCGGGTAAGGGTCCAGGGTTCGGGTTTACCTAGACTGCAAACATATGTAAAACAAAACCCCTTTTTAGGCGTTGGGCCATTATTTTACCTACTTTGTGAGTTTAGTTCGGGTTTAGGGTTCACAAAAAAACAACGATGTCCCTTCTACTCCGCCTGTTCCTCGAGGAAGTAGAAGGAGCCCGACTTCCGGAAGCTCACATGGATACCCCGGGAGTCATCCACCCTGCGTGGCTTCGGCTTTCAGGGTTTAAGGGGTTTTCTGTTGAGCTCCAAGGGTTTAGGCTCTAGGGCATTAGGGGTTCAGGGGCTTAGGGTTTCAAAGTTTCAGCCTGCACGATTACGAACTAACTTGGGTAGAGCTTACCGGGTTCAGGTCGTTCACAGATCAGCAGGCCTGCCCGAAATCTAATGCGCGAACTCGGAAACTCAAGCTTCACAAGTGCAGGTTTAGGGCTTAGGCTGTGGTCTAAGCTGCAGGGCTTCGGGCTTAAAGGCCAAGATCTCTTGACTGAGGATCAATTATCAAAATCAGGAATTTTGTCAGGGTTTTCTGGATCTGCACAAAGTCGTTCATGCTATCGGGCATAAATGTAGACCACTGGTTGACAAAACACCCTTCTCTTTAACGGCATGACATTACTAGGACGGACAATGATCCGTGCTATAATCCTGAGCAGGCATTGGCGGCTTGTTTATCATGTTTAGGGTTTAGGGGTTTTGGGGTTTAGGGTTTAGGGATCGGCATCATGGCTACTGGAATCAAAATCCCTTAGTTGAGGGAGTCGCGTAGTCTCGACGCCACACAAGGTTGAACAAACTATAAACCTTCAAAGTCCAAGTTTTGGGGCTTCCGGGTTTAACACCCACTGGTTCCGTCTGTTCACTTACTTTGAGGTGAGCCCACATCCGGAGTAGTTTGGAGTTTAGGGCTTTTCTGGGCACAAGCCATGTGTCTTAATTTGGGTCCAGGGTTTAAGCCCTAAGCCCCCATGAGCACATGAGGGTAGCGGACACTATGACCTCCGGTGCCCGATCGTCTCTCGTCTCGTCTTTAAGAAACCGCTTTGTTGGGGTCGCGGGAAGCATCGTTTAGGGTTTAGGGTTTAAGGGTTTTGGGTTTAGGGTTTGGGGTCTCTATTTTCGTCGTGGCGAGTCATTGTCGCGGAGGCAGAAGCGGAACGAACGCCCTGGCACCTGAACTATGACATGATTTGACTCTCACTGCTGGGCCTGATATGAAACAGAACTGGTGCTATCGGCCATCACGTACAGACAAACGGCAGGATCCCTTGACAAAAGGACCAATTGCTAACGCTGCATAAAATCAATACTATATCTAGTAGGATGAATCAAAACACTCGTCTTCATCATCATCTTCATCATCATCTTCATCTTCATCATCACCAACATCATCATCACCACCCACCACCATCACCACCATCATCAGCCTCATCAGCATCATCATCACCGTCATCATCATAGCAACTTCAAAGATTCCGATGGAGCACTGGGTCCTACATGTATCCAACACCCCTACACGACTTGTTACTGGCAGCTACGGACTATACCACCTATACCTGATGAACTTTCAGTTCAGGTGCAAGGGTTAGGACTTACGCTTAAGGAAGCGCACATCGTAGAGAGGGAAGGGGACATTTACCGCCCACTTCCCAGGAGGGATTGTGGTGATGTTCCCACTCTCAGAGGTGTTCACTGTGGCAGCAGCTGTACTGTTTGCGTTGGCGGCGGTGTTGTTTGCGTTGGCAGAAGTGTTATCTGACTCGGTGGTGCTGTTCCCACTCTCGGCGGTGCCCACTGTGGCAGCAGCGGTGCTGTTTCCCTTGGCAGGTGTTTTGTTTGCCTCGGAGGTGCTGTTCCCACTCTCGGCGGTGCTCACTTTGGTAGCAGCTGTGTGGTTCGCCTCAGTAGTGGTGCTGTCTCCACTCTCGGCGGTGCTCACTGTGGCAGCAGCTGTGTGGTTCGCCTCAGTAGTGGTGCTGTCTCCGCTCTCCGCGGTGCTCACTGTGGCAGGAGCTGTGTGGTTTGCCTCAGTAGTGGTGCTGTCTCCGCTCTCGGCGGTGCTCTCTGTGGCAGCAGCTGTGTGGTTCGCCTCAGTAGTGGTGCTGCCTCCGCTCTCGGCGGTGCTCACTGTGGCAGCAGCTGTGTGGTTCGCCTCAGTAGTGGTGCTGTCTCCCCTCTCGGCGGTGCTCACTGTGGCAGCAACTGTGTGGTTCGCCTCAGTAGTGGCGCTGTCTCCGCTCTCGGCGGTGCTCACTGTGGCGGCAGCGGTGTGGTTTGCCTTGGCAGGTGTGTCGTTTGCCATGGTAGTGGTGTCCTCGCTCTCAGGGGTGCTCACTGCGGCAGCAGCTGTGATGCTGGCGTTGGCAGCTGTGTCGTCTTCCTCGGCATTGAGCAGTGCTCAAATCTTTCAACAGCCTGTCGTCTGTCATGTATCAAAGCGTGGCCTGAATATGTCGACTATAGACTGATTGAGATCTAGGGTGTAGGCATGGTCGAGATATATAGTGCAAGAACAGCTTCTTCGACGTCGGCACGCAGAGGAGGACAACCCTAAACCCAACAGCCCTTAAACCCAACAGCCCTGAACCGTAAATCCCCAGGGGCTGAAAACCCTAGCCCAAAAAAGCTAACCTGTTGAATTCTGTATTATAGTAGGATTCTGTAGGCCCCAGAACGTTAAAGTGGTTCAGGGTTACCTACTCATCCCCTAAGAACCCCTACAGCCCTTAAAGCCCCCAAAAACCCTACTAAACCCCTCAAGCCCCAAACCCCTAAAGCCTCAAAACCCCGGATCAGTCGCGAAACCTGAACCTAGGCCTCACTCCGCATTCAGGAATTAAGGCTTCTGAGATGGTAACACAGGGCCGGTAAAATGTAGGGTTTACGCCCTAAGCCCGATAGTTTAGGGTTGAGGGTTTAGCATTTACTGTAGGGTCTGAGGGTATGTTCTACGATAGTTGGCCTTGGACCAGTATCCCCTAGTTTCGGAAACTCCCAACTCAAGTTTGTTCGTCAATTCTCTGGGCTATTGTCAAATCTTCTGCCCTATAGACAGTGTGGAAAAAGCATACCTAGCTGTGCTCGAAGTACCCCTATATAGATCCTAAACCCCTTGACCCTAAACTCTAAACGGATTCAAGCTACGACTGCGGAAGGTTTCGGGTTTGCCGAGGCGTTCGTCTGGACCGGAGCAGCCTTCGCATCCTTGCACAAGGAACCCGGCTCAGAATTTTTGGGTTAGGGTGCTCAGAATTTTGCCTAGTTATTCTGGGTGCTTGAACATGGCTCTCGAGTGCGCGCACGATCGAATATGAGTATAAAGGCAATAAATTCGCCTCGGCCCCGGCCGAAGCGGTCAGAGGTTCCTATTCGGATTCCCTCCATTCCCCACCTCTTGATCCCCTCCCCAATTCGCGCGCTGCCCCCCCCTCCCCGCTCCCCCCTGCCCCCCTCCAGGCAAAGTTCGGAAATAGCGTTGCTTTGGGCAGCACAGCACGCGACTCCACGACCTAACCTTCTCATAGCATCGGAGATTCAAGCATCGCTATCGCCAGCTAGGGGCTATGTCGAATATCAGGCACAGAACGCGGAGATGCTACAATGGTCACATCAACCTCTTGCTGGCTTCTTGAGACAAGCCCTCTGCCTTACGCTGCCCTGCCCTGCTTTGCCCTGCCCTACAATTAATACAAGTGCGATTCCAACTGTTGTTATTTTCGTACAAGAGCTTCCTGCTGCGCCGGATGGTAGCCAGTCGCCGCATGCGCGAAAAGCAGGGCCGAGGCGGACGACGCGAAACATTTCAAATTAGGAAGGCACGCATCAACTAAAACCTAAACCGTAGACGCTGAACCCTAAACCCCAAAACCTGACTGTCTGTGGACCCTAAACTCTTTATCTTTTGGCGACGAGTCCTTCGAAGCTGTTGTGGCACCCGTAACTGCCGGTGGGTCCTTGCAACGGATGGCAGGGCTTCAGGCCTTTCTGAGTGTGCTTGTCAGCTTAATGGTTTAGGGTTTGGGGTTTGTGTTTGTAGCAATTCCCTGAGGTACTGGACCTTGAAGTAACCAGGGAGAAAAGAGTATAGACTTTTATTTCATAATGGTTACTTTATTGAATAGGTACCAAAAAGAGTATTCAAGTATGGTACTCCAAACCTAGGGGTATAACATAATCCGAAATCCTGAACCCTAAACTGTAGAATAAGATTCCCTGGGGTCGGCGAAACTCTCCTTGTACCGGACTACTGAGAGGAGTCGATCAGGAGAACTTACGCGACAAAAAACATCTTAACTTATGTTGATGATATAAATCCCGTATTACCCATGATGGGGATAAGACCATAACTCCCATAGTCAGGGGGCATTAAGGTAATGCAGGATTTATATCATCAGCTGTACAAGACCTCAATCTCAAATCTCAATATATTTCTCAAACGGGTCCTCCGGTGCTTTCGTCTCGCCGGGAGCTGCATGGGGATCTTTGTAAATGGAAACAGGATGTACCGTTTACTATACTGAACTTAGAACCCTAGCAACATTTTAATTTTAGCTGTGTCTTAGGGATTAAAATAACCAAAAATTAAAAAAAATCGAAGTACCCCTATGTAAGTTTAGGGCTTTTGAGTACTGGCCCCGAAGTGCAGCAGTCTCTGGAACTTACGAAGAGCTAAGAAGTAATTATGATAACATCCGTTTGAAGTGGTAAGTGGTCATTATAATGAATCATAGCCCTGTTGGCCGATGTCTGACGACGGCAAAGAGTCTATAGTGAACACGTAGCAGGACCCGTTTCAACCATGGCCAAAACCCTACAAGCGTCAAGGCCTAGCCTCCAAATCCTGCACTAAAGCTTAAACTTAGTCCTGAACTTGAAACCCTAAAGCCCGAAAACCCTAAACCCTAAACCCCTAAACCCTAAACCCTAAACCCTAAAACCCTAAACCCTAAACCCTAAACCCCGCAGTGACTGCTTGCATAAAGACCAAGAAAAAATTCATCTTCTCATAACGCGTCCTCCTGTGGTTCTTTCTTGCCCGGAGGTGGTTTGGGATCCTTGCAACTGAATAACTGGTAGTAGTGGTAGTAGTGGTAGTAGTGGTGGTAGTGGTAGTAGTGGTAGTAGCGGTGGTAGTGGTAGTAGTAGTGGTAGTAGTAGTAGCAGCAGCAGCAGCAGTAGTAGTTGAAGAAGTACCCCCCAATTTTGAGAAACTCCCAATGTTTTTCCACGTTCTCGCTTGCCATACGGCCCCGGCACCATGATTTCGTCGTAGGACACACACACACACACACTTCCTAACACCCTAAACTAAGCCCTTATACAGGGGCCTTAGTAATTGGATTCGAGCTTTTGGGTCTACTGTTATAGTATAGGTATACAAGGAATATTGCTACTGATGATTCCGACCCTACATTAAACCGAAACCTTCCAAAGCCCTAAAGCCTTCCACCCCTAACAGACTTTCACACCCGAGAGCCAGCACTCAAACATCCAAAGGTCCAAAAGTAAACCTCAATTCCGACGTATAGGTTTGCTGAATCTCAGATATTACATGCGGGGGATGTTGTACTCCTACCTGCAGTGCGGCGATAGCTCACAGAAGTGCGATAGCAGGATACTACCTTTTCTGGGGGTCCTTATGATAAGGATCCTACTAAAATAGGCTACTATATCAGGGTCCCCTATTTTCGGAAACGCCCATTTCAACAAATGCATTTCAATTAATTAAGCCTTCAACCCTACATCTCAGACTGTAAACTCTATCTTTCTAAAACGGATCCTCCGGTGCTTTCGCCGATTCCGGATTGACCGCGGAATCCTTGCAGCAGGAATCAGGGTTAAACTACGGTGTTTTGAGTTGGGTGTTCATACGTCGACTGCGGATTTCTCTAAATCTAGGAGGTAAAGGCAGCTTCTATGGCTCCAGGGTCGCAAAAATCTTTCTGGAACGATGCATGACTACCCAGAGGCCCCAGAGTAGTTCCCTTTTGGGATTACCTTATAATAGGATTCTATTTCTGAACCCCCAAAAGTAGTTCGGGGAATTTTGGGTATATCGAAGCAGGATTGCAAGGAACGGAGCGGAAGGAGTCCTTTCAACTAAGTCATTTGGGGGCCAAACTAACAACCTCTAGCTTCGGTTTACGTTTGCGTTGAAGAAACTCGAAGGAGGCTAAGCTAAGACCATCAATCAACAACAGATTTGGACGGTTGTGCTGCCTGAGACACGTGGGTATATAATGTAGGGGCCTTCATAATCAAGCCTAATAACTAGAATAGGGTTTTGGGGCCCGCTATTTATACTATAATTACAATAAGAACCCCCCAGATAGTAGAGGTAATTGTTTTTAAGGACCCTTTAAATTTTAGGTGTTTCAAGAGGGACAGGCGATCATATGTGTGTTGCATGGCCTCCGCGGCTGCAGCTCAACATCACAGCAAACCCTCAATCCCACCAGCCCTACCTGGCCTTCTCCACGAACTACATCCTAGTCTCTGTATCTCCCTGTAGCGAGTCCTCAGGTTGGGTCGTCGTGCCGGTATCTGCTTCGGGATCCGTCAGCCCCTCCCCGGCGCTGATACCGGCTTTGAGATCTGCGAAGTGTCTGTGCACCTGCACGGGACCCAATGCTGCGTGTTAGGGATTAGGCTGCTCTGTGTGCCTGAGCATCTTGAATCGTTGAAGTATGAGTTTGTGGAGAAGGCGGTAAATTTCGTGTCGGCGCTCAGTTTGTCCGAGTCCAATTCTTTGGTCCCTCAATCCTGCACCCAAAGCTAGACGCTAAAGCCGGGTAGGTACAAAGCTATATCGGATCACTTACCCTAAACCCTAAACCCTGCAACTTGTATCAGCTTTGGGGCTGTTGGCTAATAGCCCTCAATTATCTGATGCTGGCCTCACGCTGAAATCGAGCAGGTCTCTCCGCTGCAGTGCTGAAGATAAGCAACCTCGTTTGTGATTCCGAACTCGAGATCGTGATGTTTATGTGTTTCTATTCGGGGTTGGTCAATCGCTACAAGTCGGGGTGATGATTGTTCCGAAGGTCACTCACGATTGTATGGCATGTTCTTCAGGGGTGGGTGTTCGGAACGTCTACCACACTACCGCGTGAAGAACATGCAGACGCGGAAAACTCAAGAAATTGGCGTCGACTTCTCACCTCGGTGCACGAATCACCGTTGTCGGGACCAGGCTGACTTTTCCGCACATGTCTCGTAAGCATAGTCCGTAGAGGAACCCAAACCAATGGACAGGGCCAACCTCCTCTGTAAAAATAACAGTTCGCTGCGCTGTATAGTCGCAGACTTTATGCCCTCAAAATGATAAAGGCTAGCCCCTATGATAAGACTTAACCAGGCTTTCTAAACCTTCCATCGAAAACCGCTATCCACGTCATAAGCCATAACCAACCCTTGCTAGCGCTGATGGACACAATCTTGCATCGCACCGATCTATGTATACATATATATATATATAGAGAGATAGAGAGAGAGAGAGAGAGAGAGAGAGAGAGAGAGAGAGAGAGAGAGAGAGAGAGAGAGAGAGAGAGAGAGAGAGAGAGAGAGGGAGAGAGTGGTATATCATGACATAGGTATAGTAACCCTTCCGTGGAGAGCTATCGCACATTCCTGGTTATTAAAGGGGGAATGTGGGATTTGGTCCATCAGCAAAAAATGCTTCTGACATCGCTTCTGCCAATGGCTTTCCATGGCAGACATGCAGTAGTGAGTCAATGGTAGCTGTCCTCGTGGTTGGCACCACCACCATCACCGTCATCACCACCACCACCACCACCACCACCACCACCACCACCACCACCCCCACCACCACCAGCACCACAAGCGTCATCGTCTTCAACAATCAAGAAGAGCCATGGTCATAGGTCCGAGTTAGCTGCAGCACCTAAGGTCAAGCAGAAGGCCGGCTTGTGGCTCGAGTTTGGGGGTTTCGGGGTTGGGATTAGAGCTCCGAGGCTTTTTATGCTTTCGGGTTTCGGGGTCAGCTTTCTGCTGACGAAGATCCACAGGAGAGCGGCAGAATTTCCCAGGAAACGAGCTGTCATTCCGCCCCTAAGTATGGAGGTCCTGACATTAGTGACAAGCTGCGTCTCGTCTTGAGCCGACGACGCAGAAAAAGAGAGGTTGGTTCAATCCTAAATCAAAGAGGCGAACGGACGGCAAATCACGGGCTTTGGGTGTTGGGTCTTGGTCCCTCTCCAGGAGAGAACCAGTACATGTTCATTGCGTTCTGCTCTTCAGGGTCTCGTGCCCAATGCTTCTGTAGCAGCGTTGGTACTGGTCCAGCACAAATTGACATGTTAGTCATGACAGAGGATTGTGTCTGCGCGCAGAGTAACATGTTCACATCTACTACTAAGACACTTTGATGCCACAAACAAGATTACGTTAAACTCCTAAACTCGTAGCAAGACCCTCAATCAAGCCTCAACGCCTGACTAGAGTCCCTTCACGACCCCCAAACCCCCAACCATGATATCTCAAACTCCCCAACCCCACCTGCGAGCCTCAACGCTGCTGACAACAATGAAACCCTCAGAGCCCCTGTTGTTCCTTAAACCCTATAAGGTCTGTAGTGCCCGCAACCCGGTTGCCCATTTAGGTTGCTGGGCTTCTACTGAAAGGATCCCGACACTTATATAGTAAGTAGGCCTTTAAATGCCTAAGTCAAAGCTAGAAATAAATCCAAGAACTGTAGTTACCATATTTACAGCCCTACTTGCTGAGTCCCCTCTGATCCTTTCAGTCGGTGAAGCTTTAAAGAAGCCTAGACCTAGACCTCACAAAAAAAAGCGTCTAGTAGCAATCGTATCCATAACCCAGCATCCTACCGCGGAGACTCGGCTCGTCCCTTAACTGGACCATTGAACCCTAACCCCAAAAACCCTACACTCCCCAAAGGCCCAGCCCCCTAAACCCTAAACCTTGGAGGTCCTCGGGCTCCGAAGAGATTCTTTACTTCTAGCATTTTAGTTCCTTTTTTGGTTTTAGCTAGAAAAATCTTTCGGATCCTATAAGGTAATTCGGAAAAGGAACTACAAACGAGACTCTAGGTAAACCCTGAAAGCTAAACCCCTAAACCCTAAACAGTTCCGCTACAAACCCGCAGGGCTGGGGAAGACCTGAGGGTACCATCCGTTCCCAGAGGCTGCTCCACCTGACTGCACACGCTCAGGGGTTTAGGGGTTTAGGGGTCTAGGGTTTAGGGTTTAGGGATGTTTAGGGTTTAGGACAGTGGTTGAATATCGGAAGTTCTCAAGTAGGGTCCCGGGGAGGTCCCAAAATAATACGGCACTCCTATGAAAAGGACCCGAAAAGGGACCCTAATGATGCAAGAAACAACCCATATGGAAGCCTGAGTATTTTCAAGCACTACACCTTAGGGATTATCATTCAAACTATAGTTTCTATATGCCGAGAAACCCTGTCTATGTATGAAGGTCGTTGCGACTTGCCGGAATATCGAACCAAAATAGCAGAATCCTGAATGCATCTTTTAAGAACCATTGCTTGCGAGCTCACGGCTCGCAGTTGTGAGGTTGATATAAGTTTGGCGGGCTTTGTTCCCCAAGGTTGTTGGGAGCTGTGTTCTCTGTGGTTTATTGTTTGGGCTGTGTGTTTGGCACTCCAGGAGCCTTAATCTCATGCCCTGCCTTCGCAGATTGTGTGTGTGTGTCGGCCATTGGAGCATGTTCTTTACCGGTGGTGCAGACCACAGATGACGGATTAACCTATGCAACTGAGGAAGCAAACGATGTATCTCCTGACTGCGGGAATATGACATGAAGATCTTGTTCCTGCGTGGTCATCTGACTCCTAGCTGCAAAACTGCCGAAACCCAGGACAGTATCTTCGGCAATGCTGATGTCATTCCTGTAGTTGAGTCCTCACATGCCGGTCTTGCTATTCCTCTCGAAGGATGGCCCCGATCCCAATGAGCTTTCAGGTTGCGGCATTGGTCCTGTCTGTGTCAAGAAGCTGCAAGAGAACAGAACGGGGGACTTGCTGGTGATGAGGTTGTAGTTGGAAGTACAAGTACAGCGATCAGTAAGCTTCAAAGCCGCAAGCCTTACTCCATAGAGCGCACCTTTGACCCCTTCTTACTTATTGCCCAGCCTCCTGAACCCACAGCTACCTAGAGCCACAGCACCCTATATAGTAGCCCTGGCACGTAGGCCTTCAAACGTATGGGCATCTTATTTCGGACTCTTATACTTACTTCTCCAGTGTTCTAGGGGATTCAAAGCCTTTGTTGCACACGGATTGTACGGTTGATGATATAAATCCTGCATGACCCATAATAAGGAATATGCCATAATTCCCATGTGTTCCTTATTAGATAATGCAGGATGAAAAATCATCAGCCGTAGCACCCCAACAAATGTTAAAGGTTGCCTGCTCTTCTCCAACTTGGAGGATCTCCCTGTCTACGGCTACTTAGAGAGCCAGATTCCAATCAGAGGCAAGGTCATAAATCCCCACACTCCAAGCCCGTGATACAGGGCCTGAATACTAGGGACGGTCTAGGTAATTTTTCCGACCTTTATGTATCTGCATATGCATATATATATATATATAGACACACACACACACACACACGTGTCCATATACTACACCTCCAGGAGTTAGGGCTGAGGGTTGATGCATGCCCCAAACCTGATGGTCAGCCCGAAGCCTGAATTGCGAAACAACCGGCGCTTGGCAACGCTAGGTGCCAGGCCGACTGCGTCACCCAATAACGGTCAGCATGGACCTGGGTCGGAATCTAACGACGCATATGGGAGTTTCCGAAAATTGAGGGGTACCTTATAATAATGGATCCTACTATTTAGGGTACCATATTAGGGTTCCCTGTTTTCGGATACTCTCATATCCCAAGGTTTCGGTTGCTGGGCCATTCGGGAAATTCTACAGTCAGAGCCCCAAATTCCAAACAAACCCATTAAATCTAGGCCGGAAAAAATCTCAAACCTCATGCCTTAGCCCAAAACCAAATCCTGAAACTCGAAACTCTGAACCCCAAACCCTAATCCTTACAGCTCAAACCCCATAAACCGAAACCCCTAACCCTTACGCCCTAAACTCTAGTAGCCGCCCTAGAGAGCACCATCCCTGCACCTAAACTTCAAGTCTAAGCCAGTACAAGGGCCCGAGCCTCCGGCTTAGGGTACAGTCTTTCGGGGTTGGGTTCTTGTTTTAGAGTTGATGTTGGGGTTTAGGGTTTAGGGGTTGGGCCATTCATGCTCCGCACCCGAAGTCTTCTCAATCGTTGTCAGACAAGCTGCGGAGATGCAGGCGAGAGGGCCTGCGTGATCGACTGACACCTGAACAGAGGCGGCTGGGCTTATAGGATGTTTCGGAATTCCGGGTATAGAGTTTGGGAGTTTATGAGGGTTTATCAAGGTTTACCAACTGTGCGCGTTGATAAAGGCTGATGGTTTGGGGTCTGTTCGTACGGACCCCTAGGTTAATCAGCGGAACATCCCTTAAGCAAGGGACGGTTCAACGAGCCGTAACCCAGACCCCCGGGAGGATCTAGAAAGTAGATCCCCTAATTTGGGGCCCTATATACTACTAAGGGCACTTTAGTAAAACCCCCCATTAAGGGATCTACTTTTTGGATCCTCCAAGGGGGGTCTGGGAAGAAAAGGGTGCAGCGTCTAGTTAGGGTAAGGTTGAAGGGGTTTCGCGGCTTACGGCCCCTGTACGGCAACAGTAGCCGGCCGGTGCTACAAGAAACCAGAATGTCAACTCCGAGGAAAGGAACCGGGTTTGGGGTTCAGGGTTCAGCGGTTTCGGGTGTAGGGGTTTATAGGGTTTACGAAGCCTAACTTGCACCGGACCAGGTCTATACTGAACTTAGAACCCTAGCAAAAAAGTAATTTTAGCTGTTTATTCGGGATTATAATAACCAAAAATTTAAAAATATTTCTAAGTACCCCTAAGAGGTAGGTATTCCTATGAAAGGCATCTCTTCGAAAGGTTGGATGCACTCTGGAGCGAGGACCATGCGGTCTTTCGGAATATTGCTCTGGGTTTACGCTTTAGGGTTGACTCCTACTTATAACCCCACTTCTAACTACTACCCTAAACCCTAAACCCTATAGAACCCTTAAAGGATCCCTTAAAGGAGCCCCTCAGGGGTCGTCCTCCATGTTTGGACTCACCGGAAGGCTCGTGTCATAGAATGTTTTTCCTCCAGCTGCAGCGGTATGGAGACCGTGCCAAAGATGCGTTTTGCAGAAGGCGCCTGGCAATGGCTTGTCTGGCACCGATGCCATGAGGTGACCTCGCTTGTGGTGCAGCCGTAACCCGTGGCACCTGCTGGCAACGCTCATTGCCACCGACATGGTAGAGGTCTTTCTGCTTCTTGACATATTGATTCGTGAAGCGACTGAACTGCATGGGATCCTCGCCGGGCGGCTGGATGCACACGCCGTGACGGTAGCGCCAGACCTAGAGGCCCTCCACGCCAGGGTGTCAGGAAGAGTAACCCGTCAAGTCATATGGGCGGTTGTCAAAATTATGGTGTTTTTTGGGTCCCTAATGTAATACGGCACCTATTATTTAGGGTACCCAAAGGGACCCGAATTTTGACAACCACCCATATGGGTAACTGCACTTCTCGGGACTCAGCATGACGGTTTGCTGGTGACTGGCTATGTGTGTGTGTGGGGGCTGTTGTACATGAGGAATGCTCCTCCAAGCACCGATGTTAAATCGAGCCCGAAATTGAAAGTACAACAATATCTCAACTATGGACTTGGAACTCCATGAACCAGTCCTAAACTCTGAAATTCAAAGCCACTGGACAACGTCTTGAGAAGAGATGCAAGGCTTTATGGGAGCTCTTGACTTTTCAGGATCTCTGTTGTTGGGGAATGTCCATGCCGCCCGAAGCCTAGACTTGTTGTACTCCCCCCCTCGCCCGAAATATGAGAATGCCGCAGCGTGAACCCTAAACCCTAGCCTAAACCGTGGCTATGCTAAACCCGAGGCCCTTCATCCACAACTCTTGCCTTCAGCGTCTTCTCAGTCTGCAACGTGTGGTGCAACTGGCACAGAGCAAGGCCGACAAGCTAATTTGCTAGGCAAGTTTCGAGTTTAGGGCTTGGGGGATTGGGTTCAGGGCTGAACCCCAAATCATTAAATCCTAAACCCGAAACCCCTAAACCCTGAACCCTAAATTGTGTTCAGGGCTTTGGCTTAGGGTTTAGTTTCGCTTTTTCTGGAATTCGGGACTTCATCATGCCGTGAAATCCTGTCCACTCGAGAACTTCCGAAAGGCCCAGCTGAAATACCTGAACTCCGGACCCCGAAACGGATGCAAAAGCCAGATCACGAGACTGAAGCATCCGAAAATCTTCGAACACCCTGAACCCTAATCCCAAAAACCTAAACCCCACCCTCCTTGTCGGGTATCATGGGGAACTTAAGGTTAACCTTTTTGGTTATATAGGGAATACATAAGGGCTATACTACCCGAAAAAAGGTTAAAGGTTATACCTACTCTACTCCTAGGCCTAAACCCCACAACCTAAGCCCCACGACCTAAACCCCAAACCCCTATCGAAAGCCCCAGATCCCCCCAAGATGGGACCTCACACTCTCCGCCAGAGGTAGCCCAAACATCGATGGTAATCTGGGATGCTCTCGGGGATTTAGGGGTTTAAAGTGGCTTGTTAGGGTATGGATTGAGGGGTTTAGAGTTTAATGGTTTGCTAGTTTAGGGTTTAGGGATTCGGGTTTAAGGGTTTAGAGAATAGTGGTTTGTAAGGGTTTAGGGTTTTGTTGGGATGTTAAAACTTATAGGCTTAGGGTTTAAGAGTTTAAGGACTAGGGGATATCGGCTTTTTCGGCGTCCCGGGTCGGGGGTGTTCCGGGTGACTGAGGACGAGACAAGCGGCATCATCGGGGTTTGAAGTTCATAGCGGGCTTATAGGGTGTAGGGTTTATGTCTAGGGTTTAGAGTGTATTCCAGGGCCTTGGGGTTTGGAGTTCAAAAGGGGTTTAGGTTTAGGCTTTAGGACAGGATTCAGGTTTATAGCACATAACCAGATTTTGGCTTTTAGGCTGTTTTGGGTTTTTGCCAGGGCTTGTTGCCATGATCCCTAAATCATACCAGTAGACTGCCAGTAGGCCCTGATATACGGGCGTAAATAACTAGTAACTAGAATAGAGTCTTGGGGCCCGTTATACTATAATCATAACAAGGAACCCCCCCACTGTACTAAATCCTGATAATAGCCCTTATAAGTAGCCCTGATAAGCCCCTCTGAGGAACCCTAGGGTCCCCGTACATAATCTTGGCTGATTTCTGAACCCCTCCTAAAAGTTAAACCTTTAGTCCTTGTTGATAATATAGAAACCCAAAAGTTAAAGTCCTAAGAGCCAACCAGAAGAACGCGAAGCAATTACTAAACCATTAAACCCTTTCATGGCAGAGCGAGCCCCCGGCGGCCAAGCCAGTCACGCGCGGTGTCAAGCCTTGGCAGCTCAGGGAGGGTTCTTCAAGGGGTCTTTCGGGGCTAATGTGGCGGTCGGTTTAGTGATAGGGTACCCCCCCCCCCGACCAAAGCTTTTTGGTCTCTTTAATTTGGTGCCGGTAGGGGTCAGGGGTCTGAGTGGCAGGGAATTGGGAGGTGCCGGGGTTTGGGGGCTTGGGTGCAGGGTCTGCGGTTCTGCGCGACTGCGCCGTCGGGGGTCGGGGGGGTCTGGGCCAGCGCCTGAAACCCTAAACCCTAACGAATCCTAAACTCCTAAACCCTATAACAAACCCTAAACCCTAAGCCCTAAACCCTTCCAAAGGGGGTCGGTCCAGATTCGACCCAAAACTAAATTTTTTATGCAAACTTTAGTACTGGAGAGGCCTCTTTTGAGCTAGGGTCCAATCCCCCCCCCACTAATCAAGGTATACTAGAATAGTACAGTAGTAGTACAGTAGTAGTATAATAATAGTGCAGTAGTACAATAGTAATACAACAGTAGTACAGTGGTAGTACAATAGTAGTACAGTAGTAGTACAATAATAGTACAGTAGTACAATAGTAGCACAATAGTAGTACAGTAGTAGTACAGTAGTAGTACGATTATAGTACCGTAGTACAATAGTAGTACAGTAGTAGTACAATAATAGTGCAGTAGTACAATAGTAATACAACAGTAGTACAGTGGTAGTACAATAGTAGTACAGTAGTAGTACGATAATAGTACAGTAGTAGTACAATAGTAGTACAGTAGTAGTACAGTAGTAGTACAATAGTAGTACAGTAGTACACTAGTAGTACAGTAGTAGTACCACAGTAGTACAGTAGTACAGTAGTAATACAGTAATAGTACAGAAATAGTACCAATAAGCAAAGCATAAAGCCAGTGAGCACATTCCCCCAATAAGCAAAGCATAAAGCCAGCGCCTGAAACCCTAAACCCTGAACCCTAAACCTTAACAAACCCTAAACCCTAACGCCCTAAACCCTTCCAAAGGGGGGTCGGTCCAGATTGGACCCAAAACTGAATTTTTTATACAAACTTTAGTACTGGAGAGGCCTCTTTTGAGCTAGGGTCCAATCCCCGATTCGGCGGTTCACCCTAGCAGCCCCCCCCAATAAGCAAGGCATACAGTAGCAGTACAATAGTACAATAGTAGTACAGTAGTAGTACAGACTCCCATTCCTGACGCCCCAATAAGCGAAACAATTCTGCAAGAGATTTTGGGGCTTCAGGGCCAGGGTTTTAGGGTTGGGTGTGGGTTTGGGTGGGGGTTTAGATCGTGGCTGCCTTAAGATTGACCATCAGCAAATAGCACAGCCCCGCCACCAACAAATCCCCCCAGCCAAAAAAAAACGCATTAATTAGACCACCCCCAAAAAGGGGCGACCGGTCGGAATTAGCCCCGGAAAAAACGCATTAAAAGAGCCCATATTCCTAAACCGACCGGCACATTACTATAAGGGATACTATAGGGATACTACAAAAAGGGGCCTTAATAGTTAGAGTAGGGTTTTGGCGTGGAGGATTTCGGTGTGGGGCTTAAGGTTGAGGGGATTAGGGTTTAGGGTTTAAGGTTTTGGAGTTTAGGGATTAGGGTTTAAGCTTCAGGGGTTGCGGGTTTAAGCTTTAGGGGTTTCGGGTTTAGGGGTGGAGGATTTCGGTGTGGGGTTTAAAGCGTCGGGGCTTTAAGTTTGAAGTTTAGGGGTTTTCGGGATGGCGTGTAACTAGGGCTTGGGGTAAAAAGTTTAGGGGTTCTTATAAAATCTCATAAAGAAACCATGACTGCACATCCGAAGCTAAATCGCTCGACCCTGAACCCCAGAAGCCCGAAACACTAAACCCTGAACCCCGGAAAATTTAGAGTACCCAGAGGCTCCATAGTAGTTCCTTTTTGGGATTACCTTATAGGAATCTACATATGAACCCCAAAAAGGAACTACTTTGGAGCCTTAGGGTAATATTATCCCAACCATCGATCTGAAAACGAGTGCAGTGTAAGGGCTAAGGGAAGTGACAGAAATCTAAGATGTAGGGTTTAGGGTTTTAGGTTTTAGGGTTCAGGGTTTAAGGGTTTAGGGTTGAAGGGCTTAGGGCTTAAGGGTTTAGGGTTGAAGGGCTTAGGGTTTAAGGGTTTCAGGGTTTAAGGGTTTAGGGTTTAAGGGTTTCAGGGTTTTAAGGTTTAGGGTAAGGGCACCATCTCGGGCGCCCACCTGTCACTTCTGCATCGGCCCGTGTGTAGGGGACGTCAAGGCCTGACAGCTCGATGGAGCTCGACCCCATAAAAGTAGATCAGTGCTATCGGAGTTTGGCATGCTCCTACCTAGGTGGTGCGAGCAGCTCGACATCATTCGGCCCACTGCACCCAAAAAATCGCACTACGGAAGATCAGGAAACCAACGTCCGAAACGGTCACAACTCGAAACATTTTCCCCAAACCCTAAACCCTGAAGCCCCAAAGTCTAAACCCCTAAAGGCCTACACCCTAAACCCCCTCCCTGCTTGTGGCCTGAAGCCTCAACTCTCAGTTCTAAACAACCAGAAGTCACAGGCCCTCCACCTCGACATCCACCTAAGTCATTGAAAGAGGCTAGATATTAGTCTACTTCAGGGTCCTGAACCGGAATAGGTTTTTGAGGTATATTGCAGTATCAATATGGAACCCTAAGAGATAGTGAGTGGTATTGATTCCTCCCCGATAGTAGTGTGCGTCGCGCCTCATCTTCGAAAGCCACACCCTTGATGACTTAATCCGTTACCGGCATCGACTCTAATCCTCTATTCACCCCTGGCGCCTAGCACTTCATCGCCCGAGACATAAGCTGCTCCAAGCAAATCCTGAAGGTTTTAGGGATTGAAGTGGCTGGAAGTTGGCGGTTGACCAAAAGGAACAAGGGTTCGGAGTTTAGTGCTTGGGTGTTTATGGTTTCGGAGGCGGGGGACAGGGTCCGGTGTATGAGACGATGTTAGTTATGCCGAGTGCCGGTCCCTATGGCAGAACTCCTCTATGCAGCTCTCGCTGACTTGGGAGTGTCTCGCGGCTCAACCCCATGGGAGCTGACGAAATGCTCGAAGAATTTCACGCGTGGCACCTCTAACCGCGAGCATCCGCTAATCATACACGCACGAAGGAGAACTTGAACCGGTACTTCCCCTTGCAGTTTTGACAGCATGAAGGCGTAATAGCACGACTGCTCACTATGATGTTGACAGAGCATTGGCAGCCAAAGGGTGCAATCGAAAGCCGAATGCTTGACCTGACCCCTATAGGTACTAGGTCAAACAACCTGGGTGGGGGGTTATCGTAATTCATCAGAGCACGGTTGTCAAGAATAGTATGTAATTCGCCTTATGATGCAGATTTCTCCCCAGAAGCAGAATTTCGGTTGTCACCCTGCACAAAGACGCGTGTGCATACGGGTATAACTATATGCGCATACTATAGCCATGCGCTTCGCGCTCGCCGAGCAACCGTAAGAAATCGATGTTTGCTTCACAAAATTCGACTCCCCTGTCCAGCCACAATTTAACCACTGAACTCCTAAACCCTCAACGGTAAACGCCTTGCATACATTCTCCCCCAAACCTCAAACCTTTTCCAATCACCCTCCCCCAAACCATGGGGACTAAACCCCACGCTTACATGGGAGCACCACAGCAGTACGCATGACAACAGTAATCCTCAATCCGTACCTGGAGCCTTGAAGTATCTACTTTAAATAGCCTTCTGGAAAGAATCGCCCTTATCAGGAGCACCGCTGGAAACAGCCATTGTGGCTGATTTGGTTTTGAGAGCAGCAGCTGTGTCTGTTTCATGTTCGCGCTTCATGCAGCACTTGAAACAGCTCATCAAGCCTGCTTTGCCTGATCTCTGATTGACAAGGACACTACATAGTGGAAGTTTTCATACCAGTTTATGTGTGTAACAAGAAAGCAGTTGTGCCTCTTTGTCACGCCCATGGTGGTGGAGATCGTGGCTGGACTGTGCGCCCAGATAACATGCAACCCATTGTGTCTGCAAGCATTGCTTTGTGCGGGTGTTGTGCCGTGCCACTTATCTGAAAGCTTATCAACCATAGAATCTGTGGCCCGAGATTTTTTTCAAGCGAAGCGATGTCCTCCGAAGCACTCCGACGAGTTACGGAGCCAGTGGTGCTCCACAAGGCAGAAAATGCAGGCACGTCTGGCTGATGTTTGTGTGTAAATACGTGCATACATGTACACGCACACCCATACATAAATAGGTACACATATATACATTACATATACAGATATAAATACAGATGTGCATATACATATACACGTACACATACGTACATACATACATACATACGTACATAGATACATATATACATACCATATACAGTTCTATCTACGTGTACATGTACCAGCCATGTACATATACATATGCGTATACATATACACATACATGATACAGACAGAAATGTGATACAGGGTTAGGCATATATGGTTGTGCAAACGAAGTCGTGTTACAGGTCTGCTAAATCGCTCGGACGACTTTTGGGAGAAGTGCCTACATGCTCTGGGCTATGGCAAAGCCCCTCGCCCATGTCTGCATTCAGCATTTGCTGCCAGGCTGCTTGTGCACCGCAAACCCCCGAGTGCGGTGCTTTATGCTGAGGATACTACCCTTCCCTGGAATGATCGGATCGATGATGTGATTGACAACTACACTGGGGGTGGTATCTGCAAAGGTTTGGCAGACAAGGAATCTGAGATTGCAGGTTCTTCAGCTATTATAAATATACTTTTGTCACTTCATAGGAAGGGCTGCTTGAAATCTTCAGAAGCGTTGCATGCGCTCAGACCCAAGGCACGCCAGAAGATGCCTCGGCTGGCGGAGGATGCAAGAAGTGATAGTCGATCGAGATATGTGCTTCTGAGAAAGAACCGGCTTATTGTTCGAGCAGCTACTGTCTCAGTTCGCATGATTTCAGCAAGTTAGGTCGTCATAACATATATCTTACTGGGAATCCCTCGCATCGGCCAGGTACTTCCTCCGTGACCGAGTTCTTCACTGCTGGCCGGCCATGCTACTCGTGTTTGTGCCTTCATCAGCATTTCAGTGGTTGAAGGCCGTTGCAAGTTGAAGAAGTTCGTAGATTCAGTAGACTCCATGAGTTGGTTCGGTCGATGATGTCATCTATTCGAACGATCAGCATGGTTCCTGTTGTTCTTCCCAGCTTGGCTCCTGCACTTTTGTGATCTGGTTGCTGGGGCGATTCGCAACATGCCCCATCCACGACCAGAGGATCTTGAAGAGGAGATGGAAGCTGCAATGGGTGATGAGGGCAACCCCGAAGAAGATGGCAAGGTCAAGGTTTACTGGACCAACTACGTTGTGGCTGAGGCATGGGAGAAGTCGACCATCCTCCGCAAGCGTGGCAGGGAGACCAAACAGTTGACCAGGTGGCCTGCTGCGAAGACGAAGGGTATCCCTTCCATGCAAGCCATCCACTTGAACGGGGATGCGCTACTGATCCTGGCGAAGAGATGGTGTCCCCTGGTCCCAATGGCGAAAACGCCAACAATCGAAGTGCTTCAAACCGAAGTGAAAAAGTGGAGAGAAGAAATGGATCTGCAAGAGGACTCTGTGATCGAATACTTGGACACGTGGGGACTCCGACGCATGTTCTCTCTTGCCATTCGGAGAAGAAGCTCTTCGCGGAGATCCAGGGATACCGTCGTCGAGGAGTTCTTCGATGTGCTGTTGCGGCATTGGGGGCACACAAAGCAATACCTTGCCAAGCACGAGGGCTTAGCTGAAGAGGCAGACGACATTCTGTCCGACGGCTACGTTGAGATGTCGGACAACGAGGACGCGAGCTGGTGTGTGAAGTTCCGTGATGCAGGTGGGTCATCCGAATCCTTGCCGGACGAAGGGTTGGAGGATTCCGTGGGTTCAAACGAAGTGGCGGAGGAAATCCCCGAGCCTGGGCAAGTGGAATCCACCATGCATGGTGGCAGCAGCGATTCTTTGGGTTCAGACAAAGTGCCGGAGGAAATCCCTGAGCCCTTGGAAGTAGAGCCCACCATGCAAATTGACATGGATGGGGACGAGGACCTAGCAGTGGAAGAGGCGCTGCTGCTGAAGCAGCTGGCAGTGCTGCAAGCAAAGTTGCAAGCTCCTGTTGCTGCCTGCCCCGACAATCTAGAGACGCAGATAGAAGCTTTGCAGACGCCCGAGCCCCTTGCAGCCTTGTCCCGGTCCAACAGTTCGTTTGCTGATCTAGAAGATGTGCTTCCTGGAAAGCACTTCTCACCGGCAGTTGAGCTCCCGAGCACTTCTGCCACAAGTGAGCCCGACAGTGCCTTTGTTACTCCGTCCCCGAAATGCCTGTTGCCTGACCTGGCTGATGTTGCGACGCCACCCAAGACGGAAGCTCCGGTTGTTGCAGCGACTGCGACAGCCGATGCCCCTAAAAATGGTCCAAGTGTCGAGGCCAGCGAGGCCAAGGGCGCTGAGACCGATGATGAGATCATGAACTACGAGGGTTTCGCCAGCAGAAAGGATCAGACCGGCATCAAGCGCAAAAACAAAGAAGTGGCTGAGGCTAAGGCCAAGCCTGGTGGTCGCGGTCGCGGTGGTCGCGGTGGACGCGGCCGTGGTGCCGTGGAGCCTCGACATGATGATGAGGATGATGATGCCAGCAAGGCCTGCGCTGGCCGAGGTCGAGGTGGGGGCCGTGGCCGTGGCCGTGGCAAGGGTGAGACCTCATGTCCAGTGGAGGACGAAGATCGTGAGGACCTCTGGGGGGATGAAGGTGCCAAGCCCAAGAAGAAGAAGAAGCAGGCCAATCCGAAGCCCAAGAACAAGAAGATCGAGACGGATGACACCAAGGCTTCGAAGGAGAAGCCGGCCAAGAGGGTAAAGGTGGCCAAAGCCACGGCTGAGCCCACAGCCGCAGTCGCTGGCGATGATGATCACGAGGCGGAGTGGCATGATGGCGAGGCCACTTGTTACTACGATTTGGACGATCCCTGGTGGCATGATGGCGGAGCAGCGGAGCAGAAAGGGGGTGCTGCTGCGTGGGAGGCTTGGTGGGATGATTGTGGGCACGCCCTGTATGGTGCGCAAGAGGCTGATGAGGCCAAGTCGGAGCCGGAGCAAGAGCAGGAAGAGGTGGCTGTGGGGCCGGAGCCAAGCTTTGCTCGGCGGCCTCCTCCAAAGACCGAGGTCCCATACAGGCGATGGTCTGCAGTCCGGGATGCCTTTAAGACCCATGTGAGCCCGAGCGTCTTGTACAGCTGCAAGTATCAGGACCCGGGTGGTTTAACGAACATCAACCAGAAGTTTAGACAGTTTTTCTTTTGGTGCCGACGACACAATAAGCTCGGTCTCTCTTTGGTTCTTTGTCCATCTCTCACACCATCCTCTCCAGCTCTATCTCTACGTCTACTTCTATGTTGTGTGTTCTACAAGTCTATCCGTGTGTGTATATATATATATAGATGTGCACATACACTGTATATAGACACACATACATGCACATACGCACACACCTAGGTATATCTGCATACATGCATGCATGTATGTGTGTATGCATACAACACAGGCATCGTCACTCTCGCCTTTGCCCCGGAAACTTCATTCCTCCGTCCCTGTTTGTCTGTGCGTTATCACCCCTTATCACTTTTACCGCCCTGTGGCCAGGACCCTTTCTGGAAGGTCTGCATGGAAAAGTTCGGGGATCGCAAAGACGAGCTCAACAGGGGCCTAGTGGATTTCGCGACGATAGCCACCAAAGCGGCCAAGCACTTTGCGAAGAATCTGCCGGATGTGTAAGCTGTAGCTGATTATCTCGATTTGTGCTAGAGGAGCCAAGCTTTTCCAGCTTTTCTCTGTGTGCCCTTCAGTGGCACAGCAGCTAGTTAGCCTATGGGTGTGTAGGATTTCCTATGCGAATCCTGTGGGTCTGCAAGGGTGAAGTTCATATGATCTTCACCGAAGCGTTAATTGGATGGGGACAGGGTTCGTGCGCAAGGGAGCAGAAAAGGTTGTGAGCTCAAGCCAGCTGCATACAACAGGATTCTGCGCTGCACTTCGATTTGTGGGACAGCTTCTCCGTTTTGTCTGCAACAAACTGTCATCAACAAATTGTCCGAGGTGCCATCGTCGACGTCATGCCGCCGAAGGGCATCCGCAAAGGCCAGGCATTCCTGGCCAGGTATGGGGCAATCCGAGCCTTTGCCTTGTTTAAGGGTCCTGCTGATCTGCTTTGCGCAGCCTACAGGCTTTGGATGTGCTTGGTTGCCTATGCAGTGCAGCCGCTAGCCGCCGAAAGCCCTTTCCGCAACAATATGTTGGCTCTACAGTTTGTACCTGCTCCAACTAGACTTTACAAGACTTGATTTTTGATCGAGGCATATGCTTATAGAGCATCATATATCCATTTCGCAATCAGTGAAGATCTTGGCCACCTTTCGTTCAGCAACACTGGAAGTGTCTTGCTGCTAGTATACGTCATGACCACACCGAAGCAGTTCGACATGGTTCTCCGGAGATTAGTAGCACTGCGGGTGCCCAAGGCCCGCCCCGGGAACTGGGAAGAAGGGGTTCTGGGTTTATGGTTGTATATAGGTTTCTCTAGGCTTATGGGGGACGTGGTCTGTTACAAACTTAAAGCTATTGGCTTCTACGGGGTAATTAGTGAGGTTGCTAGAAGGATAGATAGGCAGGTAGATGGTGCATGATTCGACAGATTTAGATAGAGATGGATAGAGAAAGAGAGAGCGAGAGAGAGAGAGAGAGAGAGAGAGATCGGCAGCTGCTGCCCCAACATATACTCAGGAGCAGTGCGACAGGTTCATCAACTCTGCAAGTCTTCGGGCTTTCGCTTCATGTGTTCGGTTGTTGGGGCAGAGGGTGGGGTGCTAACGCAAAGCTTTTGAGCAATCTTTGGTGTCTGGGACACAGTGGCAGGGTAAGGGTTGTATTTCTGGATGAATCTGAATGTATTCGTTTCTGTCTAGGTTCTGAGTGACCTACAAAATCCACAAAACCAGAAGCCCCGAAACCTTTGTAAACCCTATACCCCAAAATCCTCGAAGCAAGTCCGCATTAAAGCTCCACATACAGGGGTTTGTTTTTGGGCTGCAGCATAGGATTAGGGCCGCTGCGACAGGAGTTCCTGATTGTGGTCTTATTGGTATCTTGGACATCGTATATCGACCTGGAACCACAGCGCCCCTTCGAGCTGCTAGAATTCTTTGCTGGCCATGCAACCATAGCCCGGGCTGCAGAGGTCGCCGGATATCGCTCAGCCGCTGTAGATATCCTGTACGACGAGGCTAGGCAAGAGCGGAAGTCGATAGGCAAACGATCCCCTTTCGATCTGAATTCAGACGCTGGCTTTGCGCTGCTTGCCCGACAATTAAACCTGTCGTCGTTGTGCGAAAAGACACTCAACCAAGTAGCTTGTATATATCCCGTTGCAAAGCCCAATGCTGCCTTCATCCGAGGCTTGCTGTGGCAATGGTGCTCCAGGGCACCTGGTCACAGGTGGTATGCTTCTTTGGAACATGCTGTAGCTCTTTCGTGAACATTAACAGTGGGACATCGGGTCGTTCGGCGCTCGTTCCAGAGGGCTGTGATGCAATTCCTTCGGTGCGCTCTTCGAACAAACTCCTGTGTAGGACAGTTGCACCTGTCCTTCAACTTCACGGATTTCTCACAAGGTTACTCGACCTGTGTAGTGCCCCTGGCAGGACAGTTCTGCTCATGGCGCTGGCAGTGGCTATGGGGGGCTCGGTGTTCTTAGAGAACCCTGCCCAGTCTGTTCTTTTCGATTGCAAATGGTTCCTTTGGTTAGTTCGAGCCATGAAGTCGACTGGCCACGGCGCCTCTTGGGTTTGCAGTCCAACATGTCCTGTATTGCACTTATACAGTAATCTGCTCTCATTGCATTCGGTATGTAGTCTCTGCGTTCTGAACTAAGATGTACAAAGTGAGCTTTTGGATGAAACACTGGGGCTCTCCTACATGGAAGCGCACAGTGGTGGCATCCAATCTTCGTCGAATCGGGGAGTTCGACCGGGGACACTTGAAGCGAACGGCCTCAAATGCATTCCACACTTCTCACAAGTATACAGACTCCAGCGGGAAGCGATGCTATACTGGAACACGACTACTCAAAAGCACTGGGTGGCCCTTCTGCGTTATATCGCTTCAGCCCAGGTTTGGGTTGGTGACGACTATAACCCTACAGCCCTGGAGCCCCATCTATAAACCCGATCCGATCTAACTCCCAGGCAATACCCTCTCAACTTCGCCAAGAAGCTTGTGTCCATGCTGCCGACAATGCAAGCCAGGTCTGTCCGTTTCGAAGCTGTTCCTTGGCAATTCGAACCCAAGCTTGTGTGTGTGTGTGTGTGTGTCTCTTGGTTTGTGTGCGTGTGTGCCTGTGCCCGTGCCGGGTGTGTGTACAGTTTGGGTGTGCTGCCTCGTCACTGGTTTGTTGCTAGCCGCTAGCCTAAGGACCATGGTACCACTCCGCTCCCAGACTTACTCTCGGTTCTCAAAGAGGGCATGTGGCCTGAAGCGGAAATTTCCCCAGTTGTGAAATACTTACGGTGCGGCAAGTACCTCGAAATCCCTGAGCCATGGGCCTCACATCCTTCAATGCGGCTTGTATAGTGCAGGAGTACAGGATACCCGAATTAGAGGTGCCTAGAGCACTAATGAGGCACGTGTTGTGTGACACGAATCATCAGTGGCACTTGAGGAGCGGCCGAAGAAAGTGTGTCCAAGCCCCAAACAACTGACCAGCTTGTTTGTCTGGATCCTGCACTTGACAAGCCTAGCTAAAGCCTAAAGTAAGCATGACTTCTCCCGGTTTGTTTCCGAAAGCATCAATATAGCCACGAATATGAAGTGTTTTGTATATGTTTAAAGGCATATAGGCCTGAACCATCCCTGACGTCACACGGTTTGACCCTGAAGCTACCCTGAAATATAAGGCGGAATAACCCGGAAATAGGGCGGAATATCGCGGAATAAGGCGGAATCATGCGGAGACCCTGAAACAACCCTGAAATGTATATGCATGATGCAGGCCAAACTTGTGTCTGCTTGGGCTGCAGGTGGATTTTGTTTGGGAGGGAATGCCTGATAGACACTTGCCCAGCCGGCAGTGGTCCACACGAACCCTGGAGGAGGGTTTGTGGCGGGTACAGTCCATAGCGCCGAGCACCATGGTAGCCTCTTTAAATGCCACGGCTCTCGAAAACGAAGCGCTGCAGAAGAAGATCCAGGTGCAGCTGGCTGCTATCTTGGTTTGCTCAGCAGGTTCAAAGGTAAACCTAGACGGCTGGGTCGTGGGGTGGCTTTGTATGGCAGGAAGTCAACGCGCAGTTGGCAGCTGTTCGTGCTGCTCGGGCTAGAGGCAAGGGTTCGGGACGATCTGGTGGGGAGCCTCCAAACCCGACAGCCGGCGAGCTCACTGCCCAGACGGTTGTATCTCGGATGATGTATACCATCCCATTACGTCACAGGGCTTATTGAGACCCCTTTCTAAGGTTGAACTTCCTGAAGTCCCTCTTGCAAAAGCTACGACTGATGGCAAAGAGGCCAAGAGTGAGCAGCCTGTGGCGGCAGCCTGGGCCCACGACCGGCAACCAACTCACGAAACCCTAGGTGGTGCGGATGATCCGAATCCCATAACCCCGACCCAGCAGATCGATGATGATGATGATGATGCTGCTTTGTTGGAGGCGGCCCCCGCCCCAACCATACCCAGCACTCTCGAAGCCAAGACCGACCAGCCCCAGCACATTGCCCATGCTCCTCTGCAGCCTGCTTCTCCCAAGCCCTCCCAGACCACGAGGTGCCCAGCTGCTCCTCCAGTCAAGCCCTCCCAGCGCCCAGCTCCTCCAGCCAAACTTCCCGACCCCGCACCGTCAGTGCCAAACCCAGCCCCTGCAGCCACTACGCCACCAGTGCCGAACCCAGCTCCTGCAGCCAAACTTCCCGACCCCACGCCGACAGTGCCGAACCCAGCTCCCGCCAAACTTCCCGGCCCCGCGCAGCCAGTGCCGAACCCAGCTCCCACGCAGGTTTCGCCACACTTGAATGGGGTTCCACTGTTGGGTCAAGCGCTGTCAACCCAACCAAACCCAAACACGACATCATTGAGTAGCGGTGCCATCGACCGCCGCCTACGTCGTGTTATGACCCCAAGAACCAATGGTGATCTAAAAGTTCCAGAGAAGTTCGTGCTTGAATGGCGCAAGGGAGGCACATCCAGGAAGAACCTAGAGAAAATCATGGCGTCCGTGGGGTACAACCCGGACCGAGTGCACAAAATGTGGTAACTCTTCGTTTATGGTTTACATAAAACCCTAAACTACAAACTACAAACTACAAACCCTATTTTCCTGAAGTTATAAAACTATAAAACCTATGAACCCTAAACCCGCAGGAAGCTTTCGTGCAGCTGCTCGAAGAGATCCATGAATCCTACACGGAAAGTGAGCTGGAGATTCAAGGGGAATACGCAACAGAGGAGACCATGGCTGAGTGGGGATGGTCACAGATCTTTGCTTGCAGTGTATCCGAACAAGTCCCGTACATTCCTAAGAAAACACGTGCTCACCCAAGATCAACCCTAGCTGCCTTAGTTTAATGGTTCGAGGCCCCGCGAATACCCGAACTTCCCGGACATTCTTCTTTCTATATGGCTACAAAGAATCTCAGTGAAGGCCATGCCCTGAATACCAAACCTTCAGTAGAGAACTTAGGCCGGGGTACAGCACCGTAGCTGTGAAGTGTTCACAGACGTCGAGCCCAGCATCGCAACGTTGTGACCCATCTTAGTTTCAGGAAGGGGTGTGTAAAGGAGACCTGGGCTAGCTTTATAAGGCTCCTCCCATCACAAGGTCGATCCTGCACTTATTATTCGCTGACGTGCGGTATTAAATACCCATATAACATACATACATACATACATACATACATACATACATACATACATACATACATACATACATATCATATATATATATATATATAAGCTAGCTAGCTAGCTAGCTACCTACTTACCTTAAAAAACTCCCGTGTAACCGACCCCCCTACTTTCAAAAAGGCGTTGTTATGCATGCATGGGTTACTGGCTGACTGGCTGGATGGATGTCTGTGTGCTCGTATGCACGTATGTATGTAGACATGTATAGCAGGTGTGTGTATGTATATATATATATATATGTATGCATATATATATATATATGTATGTGTATATCTAAATATATATGCACGGGTGTGTATGTTAGTATGTCAACTATAGTACTACATAATGTATGGGTTTCATTTTTGTGCATGTATGCATGTATGTATATATGAATGTATGTATATGTGAGAAGTTAATACATGCAACTGAGGCACTTAATTGCATGTATTCATGTCCTCGGATGTATATTATGTGATGTTATGCATGTATGTGTGTGCATACATGTATGTAATGCTTGTAAGGTATGCAATGTATGTAATGTATGTCTTTGCACGGTGCTTGCCTGGATGCTTGTCTGCACGCATGTTAGGTAGAAGCCTGTGTAAAGCCGTTACATGACGACGTTGCTTTCCGAATTTCCTGCTATCGTGCGCCATCAGATCCACTTCTAAAAGATCTATCATTTTAATGGGTGCTTCCTAGATCCCAGGAAGCCCAATTATTTTGGGAAGAGAGCGAATGGGCCAGACCCGAAGGGCTGACGTATCTAGCAATACTGAATTCGAATACAAAAGTGTAACCAGGTGTACAGGTAGCAAGGTATAGGGAGGTAGGTAGCTACGATAGGTAGCAAGTTCCTTAAACTCCAAGCCCCAAAACCGAAGCATAACCCCCACAGCCCTGAATGGATCTGTCGGTCACAGCCAAGCTCCAGCCAAGGAAGAGGATTGATGCCGTGAAGGCATACTGCGCACAAGATCCTGGACGGTTCATGAGGCCAGCTCCCCGGTCTGTTGTTATGTGAAACCCACTATAAAACGCTCATTCTGGTGCGAGGCGGGATACCTACGAACAGGACAAGGTGCTCTACTGGTGCGAGAAGACTATTAAGGCATCGCACAAGCAGCTTGGCAGTTGTAGGCTGTTCAGGATCATTCGAGGGTTGTGTTGGGAATATATATGCAGCTGAGGCAGGGGGAACGCTCCATTAGACGGTCCACATCTACCTTCGAAGCCAATGGTGTGGCTGGTCCATCGGAGCCCTCAGTCTGCCCCATTGTGGATCCAGCAGCGAGTCCCCGGGTTGAGTGGATCTACATATATACCTCTCTAGCACTCCACCTTTCCCAAGTGTGATCCAATGTTGGCTCAAACTTTCTCTTTCACTCTCTCGCTCTCTCTCTGCTAGCTCATACACACACTCACTCACTCACTCACTCACCAACATCTCTCTCTCTCTCTCTCTCTCTGTCTCGCTCTCGCTGCACTCATTCACTCTGTCACTCACACTTGTTCCTCCACTGAGGTCCATCACTGACCCAGGCAGACTTGGGGTCTGTAGACGACAAGGATGCCTCTGACCTCCGAAAAAGAGCCGGCATTCCTGAATTTAACCCAGATGCCCGGCCTTCGGCAGTGGCAGTCAAGATGACGGTCTGCCTTTCCAAACGGTCACAAAAGTTGCTCGACGTGAAGAAGCAGTTTGATGCCATTGACAAAAATGACTACACGGAGAACCACAAAAGGAAGCTTAGCTTAACTAATCCCAACACCCCTACTAAACCCCTAAACCCTGACACCTACAATAGCCTTATTAGAAACTGATCTCGTACTCCTTGCCCAAGGATGCAGGGGAAGATCCAGCAGGTCTATGCAGACCTAGAGAAGCTGAATGATGAGATTTCTACGATGCATTCTGATGGTTTGGTTGATGGCTTTACTGAAGAGCTTCTCGTTTGCATCTTATTTATGCAATGGCTCTGCGATATGCGAAGTAGATTAAATGCTGTCCATTCCAGTCTCCTTGGGTGCAGGCAGGAGGAACTTCTTCGAAGCAAGTTGCAGGAGGCCAAGAAGATGCACCTCGACCGTGCAAACAGATCGGTTGATGGTCGCATGCACACATTCCATGCTAAACTGTTCTGCATCTTGGCAGCTGCAGGGCTGTGCAAGCTCTTGGGTTGGAAGTCCGTGCGAGGACCCCGCGATTATTGACATGCACCCAGGTTTGCATTATCTCACCGTTCACATGATTAGGACAATCATCCCAAAGAAGTCCGCCTCCCCGCCACCGGCGAAGGGCAATGGCAAGGGGGGAAAGCGAGCCCTTGCCGTAACTCAAACTCCGAAATCGAAAGCCAAGCCCGAGGCAGAGCAGGCTAAGCCGCCAAAAAGAGCGAAGAAGTAGGTTTGCTCTGTTTTCCCTCGGGTACCATGCGCTTTGGTGAGGTGGCTTATTCCTCGCAATGACTGCGAATCATCCACACAAGTTTGTAAAGCTCTGTTTACTTTGCACATAGTGCAGCCCAGGGTGCAGCCATCCTTCCAAAGTCAAGCATGCCAGTACCACAACTCGCCTGAGTTGTGCAGTTCCGATGATGCAACGTGTTCGCAATCACTCGGGGAAAAGGGGTTGCTTAAATTATGCTTGGCTGTCCCACTCTCATGAATGAGACTGAAACCAGCTTCCAGCGCATCTTCAAGATGACCCAAGTATGCCAGGTGATGAGACTGCGCATCAACGGCATGAAGCTGGACAACTCATGCACCAACTGGCCGAGATGGTCGGGGACGGTGTTCCGGGCTCAGAGCTTCTTTGCCTTTTGGAGTAGCGGAAGAGCAGGGACAGAGACAGGAAGAGGGAGAGGGAGAGAGAGAGAGAGAGAGAGAGAGTCTGTGTGTGTGTGTGTGTGTGTGTGTGTTTGAAAGAGAGTTTGAGTGACACTGAGAGTATAACATGCAGAGACAGTGACGGAGAGGGAGAAGGGGAGAGAAAAACAGGGAACAACAGAGAGAGAAAGGGAAAACAATCACAAACTCGGATCGAACCAAGAAAAGCTCCCATCCCTATGTTCGTAAACACCCATACAACACCAAAATGCCCTACCAATTGACAACACCACCATGCCCACATCCCTTCCTTCCCCCGAAGAGAACAATCGTTTGGGCAAGCAGCCGAGGCAGCCTGTGCTGATGTTGTACGCCTGAGCCAAGCAGCTCGTGCTGATTCTCTGGCTTGTGAGGCAGTGGTTGATGCCTCTGCCATGCGTGAGCACGATGCAGAGAAAGCTGCACACAAGCTGTTCCGTGAGTATAGTCTGACCATGGACATTCAGATCAGCTGGCTTCAGCTGGAGGTGCAAACAGAGACTATGAGTGTGCCGATTCTGAAGCCGTCAGATTTCTTGTCATACCTGCTGCAGCATGAACCTGATGTAGTTTGGGTTGGTGGTGTGCCCCGGACCAGATGCCGGGCATTCTGGCGGGCGTATTATCAATACCATCCTAGCCACATGGTATTTCAGAAATTCTCGGCGCAAGAGCTCGAGTCTGTGATTCCGGTTATGTACCACGGAGACGAGGGGTCGGGCAGCAAGAAGCAACCGGTTTCGATCATCAGTTTTCAGACTGTGTGGGGAACACCGAACGAGCGCAGGAAGTTCCTCAGGTGCAAGCATCTGAATGGGTGCAGGAAATGTACTCCGAAATCATGGGCGCCCTGCTGCAAGCCTGCTACTTTGGAGAATCCGTGCCGGGAGATGCCTTCCTCCATGCGTCTCACAGCAGAAGACATTGAGGAGCTGGAATATTCGTGGCCTACTACTTCGGATCACTCTTACCTTTCACGACACTTGTGCTGCGTTTTGCCTACGTACATGGCTACGAAAGGTCCTGAGGTGCTGGAGGGGGTGTTGCAAGCCCTAGCGCAGGATGCGGAACAACTTTTCCAGAGTGGTATCTGCATACAAGGCCGCAGGTACTACGCAGCCCTCATAGGCTGCAAGGGGGATGCAAAATGGCACGTTATGACAGCCAAGTTTTTTCGATCTTACTTGCACTTGGGCTCCGTTTATGACTACGAAATCTGTCCTTACTGCTTGGCGGGCCACGCCGATCATCCGTTCGAAGACTGCAGTAGCGAAGCCACTTGGGTGAGCACGATGTACTCATCCGCACCCTGGCATGAGCCGGGCCCCTTCGAATGTATTTCCTACGACCCAACCATGCCCGCAGCCAAGTACAAGCGTGATCCACTCCATGTCTTCAAGATCGGTTTGGCGAGAGACCTAATTGGATCCTTGCTGATGTTGCTGGCTCGGTTTTTCAAAATTTTCGATTGGCCTGGAGACAAGGTCGGCCTTGAGCCTAGAATGCGCCGTGCGCACGGCAGGTTTATGCTTTGGTGCCGAGCTCAAGGAGAGATTCCACACTTCCGTAGTTTCACCAAAGATTTCCTGCATATGAAATACGTTACAGACTATGCCTACACAGGTTCGAAAGGTTCTGACTCTATGCTACTGATCAGATGGCTCAGCTTTGAGATCGGCCTCGCAATCAATTCCAATCGTGGAGTCCCACATCGTCGGGACTTGCTCAAGGTTGGGCTTGATGTTTGCAAGGCATCCACTGAGTATTTCCGACTGCTATATTCACATGGTCTTTGGTTGGGTAAAGATTGTATGGTGACACTGCGGAATCTGGTCCTGACCATAACAAGAGGGTACAACTACCTCGCAAAAGCCTGTCTTCAGGAGGGCTTTCCAGCCTTTAGCATGAAAACAACACTGCATTCATGGCACCATTTTGCGGTAGAGATCTGCATCTGTTTGCAAAGAGGCTGTACTCTATACCCGAACGTATTGATATGGGACTGCTCCCAATGCGAAGACTTCGTTGGGCGTACAGCCAGGGTATCAAGATCCGTCCACACACGTACAAGTGCACTCAGGTGCATACAACGGCATTTGTTGAAAGCGAAGATGCTCATGAAGAGAAAGAAGAAATCCCGTGCTGACCAGGCCTCCAAAAAGAAGTCCGCAGCGGGCACGGCCATGCAATGAGAGAAAGACTACACTGCAATGACAAGTTTTGCACACTGTATCTCTTTGCAGCCATCTATCAGAGATACTCGTTTAGCTATATGAGATACTCGTTTAGCTATATATTCCCATCCATATACATAGCTATCATGCAAGTCGATCTCTCTCTTGCATTGGCCTTTAGTTCGTGCTCGTCGACCTGCAGCATCTGAACCGCAGCTGCCGGAAAGTGGCTGATTTGTTTGGGCATGGCTGTTATTCTTGTTTGGGGCTGTTTCGGCGACTTGTGGCTAGAATTCGTGGTTGTTCAGGTCGTGGCTAGTTTTCGGCGCACACACGGGGTCCAGGTAGGACTTCTTTTTTAAGGGGCTCCCAGTTCAACATAGGCGCATGAGTGGCATCAGTGATTTGAATACAGGTTGGGGTCTGTTATATACCCCGAATGCGTTAGTCCCCAAACTTTCGGAAATGGACGACCCATTGAACTGTACGCACAAGAACCTGTGATCGCTTCAAGGTAGGGCCATAGGGTTTTCGGTGACATACCCTTGAAGGATTTGGAAAGCCCAAGACATTAAGCGAAACAATCTGAATCCACGTACCTCATCTCATGTTCCCTAGATCCTGCTTCCGACAATGAATAGAAGCCTTCACACTTTACGAATACTATCATAGATACTACCTGGTCGCTGAAGAACCTACTTTCTTAGGGTTCCTGAATATGACTTCCTTCTATGAAACCTTAAAACAGTAGGTTATTTGGGGTTCTGGTAGTTATTCAGGCCCCCCATAACCAAAGGGCTCCAAAGGCGGGGCGAAGGTAGGTGCGGTGAGCCGCAGTTAAGAGCCCTTCTACAAGGGACCTTTCATCCTACGGTTGATGGTATAAATCCTGCAATACCCATATAATAAGGACTACAGGGGAATTATGGTATAAACCTTATTATGGGTCATGCAGGATTCATATCACCAACAATATCTACCTTCATCCCACCTTTGAGGTGCCTGATATGTGTGCGATAGAAGCCTTAACAGTTTTTGAATACTCCTGTCGATACTAGAGTTACTAAACGAATACTACTATAGCTGTTACTATAGTTGTTACTCTAAGGGTCCATGTACCGAAACAGTATATACTTTAGCCATAAATTTGAAGTATTAATTCCCTGTATAGGTACATCGGGCCCAAAGTACCATCTGGGCACATGGACCCTTAGGGTTAAGGCTGTTAAACCCTAAACCCTAACCTCTAAACCCCTAAAGGCCCCCATATTTGTTGAACCCTAAACCCTAACCCCTAAACCCCTAAAGACCCTTACTTGCAGGGTCGGGGGGACTTAGTAAGTAGCTAGTAAGTAGACTTATAAGTACCCTCATAGGGACCCTAATTGGGGTTATGGTACTTATAAGTCCTTAAAGCAACCATTAAGGCCCCTATCTTGCCCGACGAGCCCATGAAGCCTCGACGGAGATGGACACCCCCTCGCCCTGCGGGAAGCGCTTCAGCTCCTGCCCACTGGAACCTCGAAGCAGCAGATGGTCGTAATGTCAGGGGCCTTCGTAATTAGAATAGGGTTAGGAGGCGCTCATAGATGATGCGGGTTTTTTGAGTTTAGTTCGTGTAGTATTGGTGAGGACATGAAGACAAGGAAAATGGCAACGGTGAGGAGCTTGACGATAACCAACACAGCACCGAGGCAGTTGCGGCAGTCGGACTGAAGACGACAACGACACATGACCTCTAATGGTCATGGATTGCGCTAGTGAAATCATTAACATCATAGTGAGGCTTCTTCTATCTAGGCCCTGACATCGCGAGACTTGAAGCGCCAAAAGGGAGACCCTCTGTATAGGTCCCGTATGAGGAGTTTCCGAAAATAGGGGACCTTAACCATAGTACCCTAAATAATAGGAGCTCTTATATAAGGTCACCAAAACAAGGTACCCCTAATTCCCGAAAACTCCCGTATGACGGGTAGCTTCCTCCCATACTCCGGGAGTTCTTTCTCGTGCCCTGGCACATCTAGTATAGAGGCCACATATTATTTTGGGGGTTCCTCATTATATTTATAGTATAATGGACCCCAAAACCCTAAGGCCCCTTTATTACTGCAGTCTGTTGTACATTGCCCTGACTGCCACTGTAAATAATAGATCGACTTCCCACGTTGAGGTTTTTGCACCCAACAGGCGAAAAGTGTAACTGTCCGGCCCCGAACCCCTTTGAACCAACGTCAAGGCTATGACATGTAATTATTCAGACTTCTGGAAGGTAGCCGTGCAAGTCTCAAAATTAGCTTAGCACCCATAATGTCCCTGAGCCATAAACCCTGCCATGAGCGCTTGCACAGCATTAGGACGGCAGTGAGGGTCGTTCACTTTGTAAGGATCACCCCACTCCGTAATTTAAATGCCCCAGCCTTTAATTTTTAGCTGGCAGAACCTGGTGCTTCGCCCCTTTAAGGGATCCTTCATGGGGTTCCCTTAAGGTTCCTTTAAGGGATCCTGTAACGGTTCTATACCGGATTAGGACCTCCCACCCACGCACTAGAGTCTCAGGATATACTGATATACTCAAATAATGGAGCCTGCCACAAGGTTGATTCCGGATCGCTTGAATTGTACCCAGACCTCCCCAAACCCTCAACCCTGAACCCACTCTCTGGGACGCCGAGAGGCTGAACAGCACAGTCAGCATGCCGACATCCCAACCTTTCTGAGGAGCTATCGACAAACATACTTGCGAAGTAAGGCTACTCCTACCGCTAGTAATAATACTGACAGTCACTACCAATTGAGTAAAGGCGCAAAATTGGATCCCAAAAGACTCCGGGACCCTTGCAAGAAGGACGTTCGAGGGGACCCTAAGTTCGAGAACCACCCACCCTAAGAGTCCAGGTACCTAATAATCATATACCCTCCGACATACTAACTGCATAACTATATACGATCCCAACACCGAGACCGCTCCTTTGGACCCTATAGCCCTAGACCCCAAACCCTAAACCCTGAGCCCTAATTTCTTGGGTCCTTTGGACCCTATAAACCCTAGACCAAAACCCTATACCCTAAACCGTGAAGCCTAAACCCTAAACCATAAAGCCTAAACCCTAATTTGTATTGTTGGGTCCTTTGGACCTTAGGGCAGATGGAGCTTCGGGGACCTTCCATTGCTCTGACGTCGAGGAGCTTCTCGACACCATTTGGGGCAGTTGTCAACTATAAGGTCTCCTTTAACCCTAAACCCTAAATAATAGGTGCCGTATTATGATAGGTACCCAAAAGGGACCATAATTTTGACAACCACCCATTTGGGGCTTGGAGCTTCTTGCGGGGCTTTTGGGGTTATAAGGGTCCTTAGCTTTGTTAAGGGTCCTTATACGGTGATCAAGGGTTTAGGGGTTTTAAAGGTTTAGGGTTTAGTTAGTAGGTTTTGGGTTTTTAGGGGTCTAGGGAAGTTTAGGGTTTGGGGTCCGTGCATACGCAGACACACCAGATTTCTGCAGAAGAACATCGAGTTTGCAAAGCGAGGATCTAGATCAGACCAGCCTTTCTGATCCGGAAAACCACATGGAGTGTCACAATTTTGCAGGTCCCTGTGCCTGAGCAAATCCAATTGGATGAAGCCGCTGGTCTTGATCAGGTCGATCATGGTCGAGAAGTTGTTGGCTGCCACCAGGAAGAGCACGCAGTGGGAGGGGAAGCCTGCGCTGATGTGAGTGGTTGACACCGTGGTCCCGGGGACCTCTTCCGGGACCCAGGCGACGGTGCAGTTGTTCACGAAGTTCAGGAACGTGGCGGGAGTGATTCCCACGTTCGTGAACACCTGGGTGTTCACGCACTGCACCTTGTTGATGGCCCTGATGAGGCGGGATCGGTTTGTGATCAATTGTAGAACCACAAGAATAGCATTGTCCTTAATAGTACAGAGCCCTCCAATCGCAGGAGGCGTAATTAGAATAGGATTTTGGGGATTATTAAAATCCAATTGTAATAAGGAACCCTAACAATAGTATGGGTATTTATTTGGGCCCCTATAGACCTGCAAGCCCTGAAGCCACGATGATCTTGACTTGATCCCAGAGACTTACACTCGGAGCGCCCCTACAACCCTTAAACCCTGAAACACTATAACCCTTAAACCCCTAAACCCTAACCCCTAAACCCCTACAATCCTAAACCCTGCAATCCTAAACCCCTACAACCCTAAACCCCTACAACCGTAAATCCTAAACCCCTGGCAGCCCTCAATCCCGACCACAAAGTCCAAGCACCTTCGGCGTGGAAGGCTCCGGAGTGAGCCTCCGGGAATGTTTGGATTTAGTGATTTTGCTTTGAGGTTGGGGGCTTCGTACTTGTGGCGCAAAGAACTACTTTTTTGAGGAACGGTATATATATATATATATAGAAACCATCATTGAAAAAAACGCGAAAAAGGTAAGGTTTTTCGGTTCAGGTAGTGACTACAGGGGTATCGGCAGCGAACTGGGCTCTCCTATCTCAGAGCTGACGCCGACACTGGAATCCAGAGTAATCCCAAAACTGTCGCACACGAAGATGTTTTCCAGCCGGTGCTCAGTTGTCTAGGACAACAAAGAGGCAGCTTCGGCTGCACGTCGAAAGCCTATGGCTCGCGCAAAGAACCTTCTCAGAAGGCTCCAAAGAGTACTCCGTAGCTGAAGGGTCTTCAAAAGACTAGGGCCAAAGAAGCTTCTGAGATGCACGAACACATGGCATGAACATCTGCACATGCAAGCACTCGAATGTGGAGGCATTACAGTTTAGGACTTGTCCTCCGACACGCCCCAGAGGATCTTGACGAAGCATTCGAGTTTGCTTGCGAAAACAAAACTTGGAGAAAAGTGGAGTCCTCGAGCTCTGGTTGATCCTCGTTTTCTTCTTTATTCATCAATCGGCGTCGTTTGGCCGAAATGAAGGCACCATCATAACGGATCCGCCAAGAGCCTGTACATAGAAATCGCTTCACAGCATCTTGTTTGCTTGACTTTGTAAGTCCGTCTGCAAGCTGATGATCACTGTCACACCAAAGGAGCGTCGTGCGTTGGGCCTCAAGTCGTTGGCTCAGCGCCAGAAGCTCGAGCCCCGTGTACTTGTCCCGCTGGCTCGCCACGAAGACGCCCTTCGAGAGCGTGTCATACATGGCCTTCGCATCGACGATCAAATAGCCATTGGCCTTAGCAGAAGTGCTTTCGGGATCTTTCGGGTCGATGACATCGCCTTGCATCTCTCTCCATTCCAAGCGGGCGTTAAACAGCTCTTGTTCAGCATCTGCCAAAGCTTGGGACTCGGCGGCAAGGCTGCTTCGAGCAACCCTGTGAAGTTTTCCAGATTTCCAAGACACTGGATTGACCTTGCCGATGCCGGATTCGAGGGACTGTTGATTCATGAGTCCGACCAGGTAGCCACCGGTGGATGACAAGTCCGGACGGTTCGCCAAGCTGGCATCTGACCATGCCACCAAACAAAGTTGATCAGGTTGTGTGGCTCCTAATGATTGGACCTGAACGGACACACTCCTCGAAGCATAAACTTCCCTGACAAGCTTGTTAACTTGCTCAACGATGCTGGAGTCTTTAGAGGCGATCATGCTCTGCAAGTAGTTAAGCTTAGCAGCATGATGAGGAGCGCTCTGATAGACTCTCCACTGCACCGATCCCAGAATAGCCCTGATCTGCGCAATCTCGCCATCGTTGAGGGTTCGCTGCTCCTTGACAGCTGGCATTTGTTTGAGCTCACCGCAGAAGGCACTGTGGTCCAACGTCACGGCATAATCAGCATGCTGGACTAATTGCAATCCGCAATGTTTGAAGGCTCCTCTCTCCCAAGGAGACCAGTCATATGCCTGGTGGAATGCATGCAAGAATCTCTGCCATTCAGGATGCGAGGACTCTCCAGCCATTAGGAAATCATCTACATGACTGGAGATGAGTCCAATGATCTGGCCTGTGCTGGATCGCAGTCTCCACACGCAGCTGTCGCTTACCAGCCTTTCGCAACCTAGAGACAAGAGAGTCTTATGGACGTCATTGTACCATTCACGAGGAGCTGATACCAAGCCGTAACAGCTTTTCAATAACTGCACTGCTTGACCCTCACGAAGATTCAAGGCTTTGCTGAGTTCCGGAACCGGGGTGGCGAAAACGCCACGTTTCTCTTGAGGGGACTTCGCCTGGAGAAAAGCTGACTTGACATCCCCGCACAAGATGTCCCATTTGCATACGGCGGCCATGTTCAGCAACAGTTGGCGAGAAAGACGGCTCATAGCAGGACTCACTGTAGAAGCTTCCAACAAGTTAGGATCCGAGTATCCCAAGATCACGATCCTGGCCTTGGCCTTGATCTTGTCACTCTGCTTCTTCTGATCTTGATCACCTTCACCGTCTGGGGAGGCTTGCTTGAAGGTGAGGACCCATCTCATACGAAGCAACTCTCGACGAGGCACATGCTTCGCCGCCGCCTTAACGGCAACCGTCTTCAACCAGTTGTCAACTTCAACCTGCATGGCATCATTCATGGCAGCGCGTTGTTCTCGGTTCAACTTGGAGTATGCCACCTCGACGCCCTTTTGCACACTCTTCGCAATGAATTTCTTGGGATTCTTCACAATGGCCTTCCATTCTTCTTCAGTTGCCGGAGCATCAAGGGTTACCGCGAAAGCCGGTGTCATGTAATCTCCCTCGCCGGCCTCGTGATCCTCGAGGTGGTAGACAGCATCCTGATTTTTGTCCTCATTCAGAGTCACGAAGCTGTCAGGAAAGTAGGATGGATCACTGAAGAAGCGTGACATATCTGGAGATGTTACATTGTAATTCGTCGAGGGCGGAACCGGAAGGAGTTCCATGTCTTCATCCTCAGGTGGCTCCGGGTCAGCTCGCTTTTCACCTTGGGAAGGAGGAACAGGAATGAGTTCTTCTTCTTCATCTGGCACTGGAACGTCTGAGGGATCTCGCGGTGGTGGCACCGGAACTTCTGATTGTTCCAAGCGTCGCCTCGCAGTAGGAGGCAAGGATCTAGACCGCGCGGGAGTATGGGACCGACCTCGCGATCCTCGAGCCCGGATGATTGTCTCATCATCGTAGGATCCTTTATCCAACAGTTCGGCCAGAGAAGAGAAGGTCCAAGGAAAAGGAGCCCCAACCGAACCTTCAGACACCAAGCGTTCCGTCTCCGAAGCATGACGAACCTGGGACTGATGGAACTTCTTCAGTCTGCCATTACACACTGCCCAAATAATGGCACTTGCCTTTCGGATGCCGTCCTCACGATCAACACGAGTCTCAGTAGCTAGGACTCTGGCTGGGCCGTAAAATCGAGCAATGTTCATCCTGGCCTTATCCACGACCTCATTGGCAGGGCGATCTTGAGGAACCTGAACACGACGGTAGAAGATCAAATCCCCGGGCGCGAAGAACTGCGAAGGTCGTGTCTTCGAATTCATAGCCCTTGAGGTCAGGTCTTTCGCTCGATATTCCAGGAAGGCCTGCTCAGCTTTCGTCCGAAGCATAAGGTTGTCATGCATAGGATGTGAGGGGTCGGCCATTGCACTCTGAGCGCATTCTTCTCCAGGTCTTTCACGGCTATGTCCTGTGACGCTTGTGTCTCTCCCGAAAGCCCACTGAACAGGTGAAAAGCCCGAGGTTCTGGCCAACGAATTGTGTGCCGCGCACATCTGCGATGCAGCCCTTGTCGGGTGGAACTGCTCGGTCCTCATGAAGGCCTCGACCTTACGTCTGATCGTCCCAATGGAACGCTCTGCTTCAGCGATGCCCTCATGGTACTCAGCGGGAATGACGCCGAGCTCAATGCCACGAGAGGCACAGTACTCGCCGAGGTCGTATCCCCTAAAGGCTCCCTCGGGATCAAGCTTTAGAGACTCAGGGAAGCCGAATAGCTGACACCATCTCGATTCCAGAACCCGGCACACCTGAACCGTAGTCATGTGGCGCATCTCCTTGTCAGAATGCCGAATCATCTCTTCCACAATGCAGAATCCAGAGGCCTCGTCCACCATCAGCAGGTAGTGGAAAACCTCATTCCCGAAGCGCATGTAGAATCCGTCAATCTGAAGGGAGCACCAAAGCCGGTCCTCGCGGTGAAGTGAGGTTGCAGGAGATGCCGTTTTGATCTGATTCTCAAGGCAACTATCACACTTATATTCAGACGCCACAGCCAGAAGCTTCGGGCATGCGCCTCTGGCACGAAGGTTCTTGAGGAGCAGGCTGTTGGATGGGTGCCCAAACCGCCTGTGCAACTTCTGAACGGTATCAAGAAGAGTCTCAAGCTCCCCTTTTGTGACGCCTTTTAGAGCATCCCTGTGTGAGGTCACCGCGAAAGTCTGTCCACCTTGATCAGAGGTACGGAACTTGCCGTGGAGATCCATCACTGATCCGCATACGGCGCGATGTAAGCGAGCGACCAATGCGTCCTGGGCCTCTCGTGTCGAGGTCACAGTAGAGCAATCCAGGTACAAGGCCTTGGAGTTGGTTCGAATCAGCATTTCACCGCATTGCCACTCGAATGCTTCACCGCGATCAGCAAGAGATTTCCAAAAGGAGCAAACGTCGGGGTCACGCCACGAGCTGGACCTTTTATCTGAGATCCACACCACTTCCCCATGCTGTAATTGGACCTCGGACAGGGCAATGACATTTCGACCAACCTTCCGCTGGCGATGAAGAAGAGATCTGAATTTGGGTTCGGCAGCCCGTTCTCGAGAATAGGTGGGGCCTCTGGGTAGCTGAAACCAGGCTATCTGAGGTGTCAACTCGCGAAGTTGTTGAAGAGATCGACGACACCCACCTCGAGTTACCAAGTCATATCCCTGAGACAAACTCGCTGCAAAGCCACGTCCACCTTGTTGCTCCAAAAGCAGACACAGAGAACCTTGAGGAGGGCCCCCAAATTCCATGACCTGCAACGGGAGCTCTTCTTTGCCATGGAGGCTTATCAGCTGGTCAGTCTCATGCCACACCTCCTGACAAGAATCTTGAAGTCGATTCCGCTCATCCTGAGTCAACATCACCGACACTTCGTCATCAACAGGCAGGGACTGATCCTTCTGAACCGCCTCATCAACCACGAAGTCGGAAGCCGGGGGCAAAGACCTGGGAACAGGAAAACCATATTTCCGAAGGCATTCTTTTCGAGCTGCCGTGGCCTGAGAGATCAGCCTCGAGCTGTAGACAGTCAGGGAGATGCGGAAACCTGTCCAACGATCAGTGGCATGAAATAGCTTGGGATCAAACTCGAGAAACCGGTGGCACGTGTCATAGAAGCGGCCTGCCACGCGCTGGCCGTTGGTCTTGTTGCGCCAACGAATGGCGCCGGCACTCGAATTGTCAGTTTCACTCAACTCACACCACAGCTGTCCACCAACGTATTTCCCAAAGCTGCAAGTGTAATTAGAACTCGATGGTGAATTGTGAGCATCAAGATGCACCTTAACGGGTTGATTCACACTGACCGTGAAACTGGTCCACGTAGCTTTGGTACCGTTGAGCTGGGACTTGCCAAACTGATTCAAGTACATGCACGTTTTGGGCAGCTGGAAGGTTTTCTTGGTGATGCCGGACATGTTGCCATGCGAAAACAGACCATATGCACTGTACCCCTGTCCTTTTTCGGAGGTCAAAGCCTGTCTTTGGCTGAAGCTCAAAGCCCCTGGGACGGCCGCCAGCCGCATCAGGAACTCTTCACACTGATCAAAGGAGAAAGCCTTGGCAGCCAACATATGAGAAGCGCACTCCTCTAGGTCCAGAAGGTCTCGGTTGGCTTCGCCAATCATGGCGAACTCTGGTTCCGGGCATCGTACTCCTGCTGTTCCGCCGATATCGTCTGGATCCTCTTGTTTCCCGGAGTGGCTGCCATACCATCCTGGCTCGTCTCGGTCGGCTCGATCACAATCACCGACCCGTCGGTGCTCGGAGACTGAGTGGTCGAAGGCATCGGTCCGGCCGTCTTTGCCACCGGGGTCGTTGGAGCTTCTTGCCCCTTCTCCTGATTCTTCACCGGCAGCACCTTGGCTTTCTGCATCCGGATCTTCTCGAGCTGCTTGATCGCGCTTGTCTCCGCCGCTTGTAGCCCTATGGCCGTGTCCTTCAAGCGTGGATTGTAACCCAGCTCCTCGGTCTTCGCCGTCTCGGCCACAACTTGCTTGACATCCTGGATCAGAGGGCCTGCACTGCGATGCAAAGCGGACTTGCCGTGGCGGGGAATGTAAGACATCCGAATCCCGCATCTCTGACAGAACGTCCAAGCCGCATGCTGGTTGGCTCGGGACACCACATCGTGTTCCGTGTAGCAAGGCGGTCCCTTCAGTCTCACATCTCTCTCGTCCGCCGGCTGAATTCGATCCCAGTCGAGCTCGGGAGCGGGTTCCCCTTTCGGCTTGGGCGCTTTCTTGGCCTTCTCCTTGCTCTTCGCCTGGGCGGTCTTCACTGCCATCGCCGCCTTGGCCTGCGCGATGGCCGTCTCCTGAGTCTGGTCGTTCGATGACATGTCGATGCACAAGAAGACGGAGAGCTAAAAGAGGAGGCTCGTCGCCACCAACACCGAGGCTGGGCACTACCGGAATCGCTGAGCTAACCGATCCTCGAGACTGAAAAAGAACCGCGTGGCATTCCGAAACTCCCGCAGGTGCACTCATACTCTCTGGATCAACATGTGGAGCAGGCTCGGACTCAGAACTCACCACAAATATCGCACCAACAACTCCCTCTTTGTCATCACAGGATTGCGATGCCATGCCGATGACTGGAGTGGGATCGGCGAGCGAAAAACTGTCCTGCAACCAATTCTGGCTCAAGTTGATCAAAACATGGCCTGAAGCACCTCTGCGTAAAGGAATGCCAACATACGGGTTGAGGGAAGCGAAGACTGCAACGTCCTTGTCGAAGTCGATTACCGTTTTCAGGGAACGAAGACTCTTGATTCCCAGCAATATTGGGACATTCTGTACGTCTAGAGAGTAGATCCCTAGCTCCACTTGAACATCTCCGAGGTCCTGGGGAATCAATAAGTGGCTGAGAGAGAAGCCAGTTGCTCCATTTCCGAAACGGAATCGTCGAGACGGAACATCTGATATCCGAAACTGATCTGCATTCCCATGCAACTCAAACCGAAACTGAAGAAGGTCCTCTATGGCCGGGAGAGAACCGACTGTCTCCGTCGCACCTGAGTCAACCACAGCATGGCCGCGGGGATGCGGCTCAATCGCACCCGAGGCAAAGGCATCGGCTGAAGAAGTGATCACAAGAGAAGAACTCACGACTTCACGATTGTCCTGGAACTCTGAAGGAAAGCGAAAATCCCACACATGCGGGAAGTCAGTCCTGGCATAGGAGGGAGGCTCATCATCCGCAGAGGGGCCACCAATGGGGTTCTCAATGACTTCCTCACCCTCAGGGTGGACCATGAAGATGCTCTCAGCGAGAAAGGAACGTCCCGACTTTCCTTTTCCGGACCCTTTTCCTCCGCTTGTCCTCTTCGGGCATGATCTCCAGCTGTGCTCCTTGGACCCACACACGAAGCATCCGGTGAAAGAAGGATCGCCTGGCTGAGCAAGCACGTCTGCTGTAGCGGCCAGAACAGGGGCCAAAGGAGCTCGCATCGGAGAAGAAGAAGAGGATGCTTTCCCTTTGCCTTTCCCTTTTCCTTTGCCCTTGAAGCGAGGCTTGCCTTTGCTGTTGGGGTTGAAAGGATAAAACCCTCGAGAAAGATTCCTGGCCTTGACCGCCTGTCGAGCTTGCACAAACGATCGAGATTTGGGGTCCTGGATGGCAAAGGTATCCTCGGCGGGCTTGGTGGATTCGTTGGGACCTGAAGCAAGATGGACTGCCTCTTCCCAGTCACTCCAAGCCCAAAACATTCCAGACAAATCCTGGGTGTAGAACTCTCCATCCTCAGCCATCTCCCGAAAGGTGTAGGCGCCATCATCATCTTGGTGCCAAAAGCCTTGGTCCTCAGGGTAGAAGGAGTGGTCGGGCTCCTGGTGGTAGTAGACATCCTGAGGCAAACGAGATCCAACATAGTGGACCTCACTGTTCATGATGAGCTCATTGACCTCCTCGTCTGGGGCCATCACCAAACTCCACTCGCCTTCATCTTCAACCCAGAACGATCGGCGGCGAGGTTGTGCCGCACGTCGGGCTTCATCGTGAACCATCAACTCATCTTCCATCGCCCTCATGGCTCGTTCAACGTCCTGGAAGATCAAACTGTTCCCTGCCGCGGCCTGAATGCTCAGCCTGGCCGATGTCGGAAGATTGGCGCGTCGAAGCAAAAGCCACCCCAGCACTTCAGCAGGTAGCACCTCCTCCAGTCCTTCTTCATAGCGATCCCAGACTTCTAAGTCTTTAAGAGCCTGTACACTATCATCTGAGTCTTCATCATCAGAAAACCCTTTCTTCTTGCGAGACCGCCAGCTGGAGCGGGGTTCGGCTCCTTGATCAAAGTCGGGAAACTCATCATCGGCCTCGGGACCAGTAGGAGGCTCGCCCTCATCCCCAGTGGGAGGAATGGTAGCCTCCGCATGAGGCTCCTCTTGGGTCTCTTGAGTGGCCTCACTGCCTCTCCGCGCCTGATTTCTTTCTCCCTTCCTGGAACCACTGCTCGGAGAAGAAGGAGAGGACGAAGGCCGAGGCAAAGGAGTCGATGGGCCGCCAGGATCTCGAAGGGATCGAAGAGGAGGAAGCGGCTTGCTCACTGCCTGCTTCTTCTCAAGACGGGCACGATGCAAGGCAACCTGAACCCTCTTGTAAGTCTGACGAACTTGCGTGGCCCACGAGCTCATCGGGGTGCCTGGACTTCGCCGGAGCTTGATCATGAGGTCTTCCAGACGGATCCCTACGTCTGGCACGGGAGACCGTCCAAGTCGATCCCTCAAGAATTCGAGCAGATATACAGCTCCTTCACGTCTCGTCAGCTTGTGGTGATCGACCTCTTGTGTCACGCTCCATGCCTTGTCTCTCAGCTGAGACACTATCGAGGGCCCAATCTGACGACGTTTGCGACGCGCCGTCCGCTCGTACAGCAATCTTACTCGCCGCACGAAATCAGACCATCCCGCTGGGTCGCCGTCCCAGCTGCACTGGGCCAAAGCCGAAGCAAACTCCTTGTCCATGAAGCAAAAGGAAAAACTAAGAAGCCCAGAGAGACTCCAGGCTTGCACACACAAAGAACTCCACCTCCGCAAACTCGAGGAGGCCTCAAGACTCCGGACACCCAGTGGTTCGGCAGCAGAGTAGGAAGCGCTGGATCGCGCTCCGCTACCAGTATCGGCAGCGAACTGGGCTTATCTCAGAGCTGACGCCGACACTGGAATCCAGAGTAATCCCAAAACTGTCGCACACGAAGATGTTTTCCAGCCGGTGCTCAGTTGTCTAGGACAACAAAGAGGCAGCTTCGGCTGCACGTCGAAAGCCTATGGCTCGCGCAAAGAACCTTCTCAGAAGGCTCCAAAGAGTACTCCGTAGCTGAAGGGTCTTCAAAAGACTAGGGCCAAAGAAGCTTCTGAGATGCACGAACACATGGCATGAACATCTGCACATGCAAGCACTCGAATGTGGAGGCATTACAGTTTAGGACTTGTCCTCCGACAAGGGGTTGGGGCTATAGGTGCAGGACCCGGACTTCCCGAGACTTAATGCACCGTAGTTCTCCAAATAACGGTCCCCTTTGGGGGACCGTTAGAGAACTACGTGCCCAAAGGGCGACACATGGGCAGATGACAAGCTCTCCGGGCTTTTTTGTCAGGCGTTGGCCCTGAGCATCAACCCTTGAAGCCCAACACCACACTGGAAACTCATGCAAACTCGAGCGTATTTCTTCTCTCTCTACCTAACGGGTCATACCCTACCCCTTTCTGATGGTACCTAGTTTATGGTCAGCGCCTGCTACGTAGAAAAAATGGTACCCTGAAAAGGGGTGAGGGTATGACCCCGTAAGTAAATTCTTTGTCCGCAACCCTGAAATTCTTGACTATCTAACGAGAATGATACTAACTCACGATAGCAACCGTAATCAAAAAGAACAAGACTAGCCGCTTAAGCAATACAACAAGCACAATGATGATCGTAAATGCATAGCAATGGTATTCATGATATTTTTAGTAATACTAATGCCAATCCCTGTCCTTCATGGGCGGGGGCCGCGGACGGAAACTAAGCGAGTTGTAGATGGGATAGACGACGAACTCGTGGTTGAACCTCAGGCCAATCGTAGCGAACAAAGTCCCAGAGTTTCCAATATCCCTTAGTTAATTACGGAATAAACCATGAATTATAGTAGGATCCACAGTATGATTTCAGGAATATTCCTTAAAAGTAAGCGTTGTTGGAGTCTCAGAGTTTTCTTACTCTGCTTCGCATTTCAAAGTGTAGGAATGATTCTTCACCCTGAATCCAGAAACTTGGAACGAAAAGAGACCTTTTGAAGCTCACATCTCAGGCTTGAAGCTGTGCTTGGTGCAGGTCTTTACCGTTATATACTATAAAGCTTAACCCCTGAAAGCCTAGTAGATAATGTTCATGGTCTACGCAGGCGTCCGGCTTTCAACTGTCGATGGGGGAGGGCTCTGGCTGCTGTTTTGTTGAGGGCAAATGTCATCGTCTTGGTTCTTTTATTGGTTCGGGACGGCTTGGGCACTGAGGCTTCAAACTGGTCCTCCAGTTCAATTTCGTTGGTCCGACTCAGTTTAATCTCACGGACGGGGCCGAAACCGCATAAGCTGAACTAACAAAGTCAAGTGAAGAAAGGTTCCAAAGACCTGCCGGATTGTAGTATAACGTTTACGGAACTATGCAGATGCTATTCTTCCGAGCTCCTGATCGAACGCCTGCTACCATGCACAGGCCAGATTTGTGGAACTGGAGCCAAAATCGGAATCACTCCCTCCCTAAACCCTAAACCCTGAACCCTAAACCCTTAAGCCTAAACTCTAAACCCCTACAATCCTAAACCCTCAAGCCTAAACTCTAAACCCTCAGCTCCTCGTGCCCGCAGATCCTAAGGGTCTGACGAGACGACGAGCTGCTCCACGCCAGGCACCTCATTTTAAAGGGGTAGGGTTTAGGGTTTGGGGTTTCAGGGTTTTAGGGTTTTAGGGTTTACTGTTGGAACAACATTATCCTCATGCCGTTTAAGTAAAGTGTGTAGGTAATCCTAGCATGAGTCATCCTAAACCAATTTTCCAACTTTCTGGGCTATACTTTAGGGTTTATGAAGTCAGAGATTCCCAGAAACGGCTCAGAGATCCCTCTACTGACTCTACTGGAAGTCCCTATCCCAAACCCGGAACTGAAAAACGCTGCGTACGGGATTTTGCTGTTGGGGCTCCTTTGAAGGATCTTGTAAGAGTTCTACAAGGAGTTCCGGGCTAAGGGTTTCAGGATTGAGGGTTTCGGGGTGTAGTAGTGTGTGAAGAGGTGAACTGTATAGTGTTCGGGGAAGTGTGCTACAATCTCTAGGGCTAGGGCTTCGGGATGTTGGTCTTTCTAACCCTAAGGCTCAAAATCGCCCAAAAGCCTTATATAGTATGGTCTTTGGGCCCAAAAGCCTTAAAATATGAGTCCTCAGAGCCTAAGGGTAAGGTTTGGGTTGGAAGCTTCACCTGTTGGTTTGGATCTTGGGGGCCTTCGATTAAGGCTTCGGGTGCTGACGCTCCCATGCTAACAGGCTCGGGGTACATATATGCACTCGGATTCCGACTATAACTGAAAAATGTAGAACAACGACCTCTTGTAGGTGTTGGGAAGTTCTTTTACCGACGTTTGGGGATTCAGGATTCAGGTGCTTCTGACCCAGTACCATTATGGAATTAGGTCCCAAGGGGACCTAATTCCGGGACCTAATTCCATAATAGTATATAGTGTATATGGACCCTCTGGGTCACCCTAGTTGTAGTTCGAGAAGATGTCCGATCGTCCGCGACAGTTAATTTCGAAGCTTTGACTTAGGGTTTAGGGGTTTAGGGGTTTAGGGTTTAGGGGTTTAGGGTTTAGGGGTTAGGGCTTTAGGGGTTTAGGGCTTTAGGGGTTTAGGGTTTGACCCCACGGCGGGTTTGAGGCGATGAAATTCTGATTGCAGTTCGGGTTTAGGCTCAGGGTTCATGGCTGCAGCATCCTTTTCCCTAGAACCTCGGCTTGGGGATCGCACAGCGAGTTTTGGAAGCCGAGCCCGAACCCACGACCGTAGAAGGGTTCTACACCCCCGAGCCCCAAAGCTCACACCTCAAAAGCCCTCAAAGTTCACATCTCAGCAACCCTGTGGCTTGCAGGCAGGGATCGTAATAGTCCTGCTGCCGTGTGCACCTGGTGGAAGCGTAATCACCAAGCCCCGAGTCAAATCTAAGACCTAAATGAAGGAACAAGCGCTTGCGGCACGGCGTGCTTTGGCATAGTGATATAGAGAGATATG